GCAGATTGTAGATAAATTCTTATACTGTGCTAAATATTCAAAGCAAACAGGAGGTTCGAAGAAAATTAAAGAAGCAAACCTTCCACCGCACACTCATACAGGAACTACAAACACAACAGGTAGTCATTCACATTCAATAACAAAAAGAGGTTATACAAATCTTGCAGCAGGTTCGGATAGACAGGGAATGCATAGATATGATATTTCAAGTGACCCAGTAGATTCAAGCGCAGGTATTTTCTGTGGAACCGCAGGAAATCATGCCCATACTTTCACAACAAATCCAACAGGCTTGGGTGAAGATTATATGCCACCATTTATGACTGTATTTGCATGGTATAGAGTTCAATGAACGCGCTTGAGCCTAGAATAAAATCTTTAACTTTACATAAATGAGCTTGAAAGAAGTATTCGAACAACATCCATGGAGGTCTTTTAAGAAATTCAATGAAGCTGCAAAGAGTTGGGGATTTACTAACAGAGCTGAAGTGAAAAGGTTCTTTGACAAAAATGTTGTACATCAAACAAAAATAAATCCTTACGACTACTTTTTACCAATTTACTCCAACACTCCTGACGCATACCAATTTGACACTCTCATTCAAAGCAGAAAAGGAGGACATAAACCATTCCTCATCTTCATTAATGTTAACACTCGTAAAGCATATGCATATCCAATGAGGAATAAAGGAACTCGTGAAGTGTTAAGAGTTTTACAAAAGTTTGTAGCAGAACATAGCCCAAGTACTTTAACATCAGACCAAGACAGTGCATACCTCAGCAATGAAATCACAGATTTTCTCATTAAGCATAACATAACTCACTACACTACTGAAGACCATAACCATAACATACTCGGCATCATAAACCGCTTCATAAGGACTCTCAGAGATTTAAACAAGAGCGAGACTTTACCGAAGAAACAATGAAACATTTTCTCGAAGTATATAATTCCTCAACACATTCTACAACAGGACATACACCAAATTCAATGACACAACAACAAGAAGAAAAGTATATACAAAAGAAACGAAGCCAAACACAAAATATCAGAAATTCAACACAATTTACCCTCATTCCTGGTACAAAAGTTCGTGTAGTTCTTGACGACAAACCGTTGACAAAGAAACGTTTAAGGTTAAGTCGAAATTATTATATCGTAGACTCTACGCAAGGTAATGGATATCTTATAAAAGCTGCCGACGACTCTATTGCGTTTTATCCTCGTCATAAATTAGTTGAAAGTAGTAATGGCAAACTTGCTGAAACCATTGACGAAGCAAAGCGAGGAGTGGTTATTGAAATACTTGACTACAACATAAACGATGACACTTATAAAGTAAGATATGAAGGAGGTGTTGAAGATGTTATACCATCTAAGAACTTGAGAGAGTCAAAGCCAACACATCTGGGACCATTAGAGCGGGAGTACTGGAAAGACAAAAATATGCCAGAAAGAATAAGAAAATTCTTCTAAACTTTTTCATTAGATGTAAATCAGACATGAATGAGAACAGTCATGATATCATTAATGGTACCATTTATTTACACCAAAAATAATGTTTATGTTAGCATGTTAGATCTAACACGTTTTCTAACCACTTTTCTAACATGGTCTAAAACTCTCGAAAATCATGAATTTTTGACATTTCCTTATGAAAGAAAAATAACGCTAATTTTTTTCTAAGAAAAATTTTTATCTTGTATGTAAAGATATGATTTCAACAATCGGCACAACAACAATTCAAACTACAGCACCAAACTCGTTAGTCATGAATCCAACATCTATGTTAGTAGAGATGAAAAGCTTCATTCCTTCTTCATATACTTTCGAAACAAAAATCCAGAAGATAAAGCAAGAACTTTTAACAAGTAATTTAGACTGTAGTGCGAAAGATGAAACAAATGAACAGTATCTTTATGAAATGCAGGATATTATTGACCATTTACCCAAATTGCCTGAAATCCAACAACAAAGCTCACTATTCATGAATTCGATGAAATAGAAGTGAAACCAACTGACTCAGTAGAAATAAAGAAGTTCATACGTAAAGTAAACTATGAGTTTCTAGGATATCATTGCAACCATAAAGTTATGGACAAAGATTGCGACATGGTATATAAGAACATCTCTGACATATATAAATCTGGGGAGTTTAAGACATACGACAACTTTGTTTCATTAGTTGCTGAATGCGTATGGCAGATAAGAGATAAAGATAAAGATGTAAAATATGGAACAAACAAATCAGAGCCTACAATATCTAGTTAAAGAAAACCATTGACGCCTTAGTTGTTCTAGCTGGTTTTTATTTCAATGTATAACGCAAAAATGAACCCACAATGTTCAAAATGTAAAGCAGCAATAAGGAAATATAACTATTCTGTCAAAGAGATAGAACGTATGAGAAACGACTATGCTGACTTAAAGAAAGAAGTAGAGAAACCAGCAGAAGATAAAATGGACATGTTAGCATTTCTGAACAAAAACTATCCAACTGCTGACGATTTCCTATTATCTGATGTCAAGAAGAAGTATAAAGAAACCTTCGGCATAGTTAAAATTTTTTGATATTCTTCGTGAAGAAATAGAAGCTACAAAACTGTTTAAAGTCATGAACCATCGCAACATATACCATGTAAAACGCTTGTAAATAGTTATGTTAGAAAAGTGGTTAGAAAACGTGTTAGATCTAACATGCTAACATAAACATTATTTTTTCTAAACTTTTTATCTTGTATGTAAGAACAGTAATGTTAAAGGTTGAGTTTGAAACAGTTAGAAAGATAGACAATGACACCAAAAGTGGTTAGAATAGGTAATTTAAACGTAAGATACTCAAAGAAATACAACAAATATTCTTTGTCAGACATTATATCTCCATCTGGAAAGAAAAACAAACGACTGGGTTAGAAATGCTTCTACTCAGAAAATTTTGACAAGAAATCCTGAGCTTTATGATATCAGTAAGATTCTATGGAACAAGAGCATATCTTATAGACAAAAGTCTTATACCAATAATTCTTCTATGGATTGACCCAGTTGTTGGATATAACTTCATAACTTATGGTTCATTCGACTCAGAACGTTGCAGTGAAGGCTTACTTTACATCGTTCAGAAACCGAAGGACTTCAATACAAAGAGATATAAGATAGGAAGAACATATAATATAACTCAAAGATATGACAGTACAGTCAATAGAGTCAAGGTTGTGTTCGTTAATGATATGAGAGCTGCAGAAACAGAACTACTTGAAAAGTTTGCGAAAAGGTATGGTGCTCCCATGAAAGGTAAAGAAACGTTTGAAGTAGATGAGATAGATAAAGCTATAAAATTATTTGACGAAGTTGCTGAAAAATACATGTAAAGCGTTTATTTTTGGTCTTTTGTGAAAGTCAGAAAATAAAGTTAGTTTTTTATAAAATATTTTTTTATCCGGAATATAAAGACAGTAATGACAACATCAGAGAGCACAACAACTGCTATCGTTCATGAAGCTATAAATGAAGAATACGAGTACATACAATATAACAAACAGTTACGTCTCATTCGTTCAGTCAAAGATGATATGTACCAAATGCAGAGTATAATGAATGCTCTTCGTTCTACAAAGCAAGCATATCATTGGTTTGAAAACCAACAGACAAAAGAACTTTTAGAAGAATTTCCTCATATGATTGCTTCCCTCGGAAAACCGAGAGAAGAGATTCCGTACGAAAATCGCAAGAATTTGGCTCCTGGTTTGAAAGGTTATTATGTTCATAGACTTTTAGTAAACGCTGTAGCAATGTGGGCTTCACCTCGTTATGCTTGTTATATTTTTCATGATGTTAGATGAACTATATAAAAGCAGAACGTGGAGAGATGGAAAAGAAACTTCAAGCAAAAGATGAAGTCATTGAATCCAAAGACAAAAGCATACAGAAAAGAATACCGCGTTCAGTACCAAAAGGAAGGAAAAGAACTATAAGTATATGATTTTATACTGAAGAGTTGGAGAATGAAGAAGATAAAGATATGGTTATGTGTGCATTTAGTCAGAAGAAAAACAAAAGCTTTTACGACCTTGCTAAAAATATATAAATCTGACAGAAACTGGTTTATCGTGAAAACTTACCGATTTCAATGACACCGAATGAGCAAATAAAAGAAATTGTCAAAAATACTCTTCCTCAAACACACTATGACATCAAAGGTTGCACAATACTTACCTTCAAAGAAGACTTACCATTACTGAAGGAAAAAATAACAGAATATTTCGATAACTTCAAAGAGGAAGAATGAAGTCACGACAACATTAACGAAGAAGTCACGACAACATTAACGAAGAAGTCACGACAACATTAACGAAGAAGTCACGACAACATTAACGAAGAGAGAATGAGGTGAAAAAACAGGTGAAATCTCACCTCTTCACCAAAAATATATTTTTGGTTAAATAGCTTCAGGGTCTATTTCTTCAACCATTTCACTTCCTTCGTCAATGTCAATAGAAGCTTCTTCAACCTTTGGTAAGAACTTTTGTATAACATCTTTGTTCGTTATTGTCTTCAGAGATGAAGGATAATATTTCACATTTGTTTCACCCTTCTTATATTCTTTCTGTTCGGAAAGATTCATAGCAATACTGAAGAAGTCAATGTTAGAGTTCTTTATGACAGTATAATGAGTATCTTTGACATTCACGAAGAAACTCTTTTGTTTCAAAACTACTGCTAACTCTTGTGAAGTATAACGTTTGCGGTCAATGACGATAGCTAATGGTCTGACATACTGACCAAACTTAGATTCTTTCACAAACTTCTTGTTAAAGATAACATTAACATTTGAAGCATTATTGAACTCATTCTTGATGGCAGTAGCGAGAGCATTGTATGAAAAGAACTTGCAATCTTGCATGTGTTTCATTAAAATAAAAATATTAAATTATTTTGAAAAATAACTTAAAAAAATCTAATCTAATTTTTTCAAAAAATATTTTTTTATTTCCTACTAAAGATGTATCGGAAGTTGTCTAAGTTAGAACACTCGGAAATAAAACAACTTCTTACAGAAGCTAATATAGATGTTGCAAAGCATTACGCAACAAACAAAAAGGCACTCGCTGACATCCTCAATGACTATAATGGTGAAATAACTTATGATAGAATTCATGAGTTCATAAAGCCGCAACGCGGCGAGGACGAAGTCCATGCAAGAGCATTTCCTTTAAATGACGTTGCTATTGACTTATATCATAGACGTTCAATACCTCATGAAGTAAGAAGAGAAATGTTTGACATAACAAATGCGAACGTGGTCATACTCGTAAAGCTCTTTCGCATGAAGTAAGAAGAGAAATGTTTGACATAACAAATGCGAACGTTGGTCATACTCGTAAAGCTCTTTCGCATGATGTTCGTCAAGAGATGTTTGACATAACAAATGCAAACGTTGGTGAAACACGAAAGAGAGATGACACACTGAAACAACAGAGAAGAGAGATGTTTAAAAGTGCTATAGAACAAGTTCGCAAAGCTAATAATGTCATTCGTTCCATTGACGACAAACCAAAAGAAGGTGAGAGATGGTTAAAGAAAGATGAAGAAAATAGGAAGAGGAATGTGAAGTCAGGCAATAGACTCATTGACTTTAACATCGAAGCTTTAGATGAACCAAACAGAGACTACTTACACAAACATTTCGGTAAGGTTTTCATGAGACTCTTAGAGAAAATTAAAATAAACTCCCAACAAAGATGGATGGTATGTTATAAACTTGGTGGAAAGTATGAATGTTCTACGTTAAACCTCAATAATATTGGAACATTACTACATCAGCTCTTGAAGGAGAACTTTATATCAGAGATAGAAGCAAATGCTGCAGGTATTGTTGAAATGCACTATGACTTCTTCTTGACAAACATAAAGAATCTTACTGAAATAAAGATGTATGATTTAACAGAATATGAAGGCTTAACGATGTCAGATGTAAAGAAAGGCAAACCAAAAAAGAGACCATATAGAGATGAAAGCACACTGACAAATGACCAGAAAGCCATTTTGGAAGCTCTTAAGCAAACAGGAAACCCAGCACTTATAGAAAGCTTTTGGAAAGATAATGGTGAAAAGAAGTTTTATAAGAAGAGAAGCGGTCAGTTCTGGAAGTATCTTTGCACATTACCTATAAATCTTGAACGCTACCAAATCTTCAATGAACTGAACAAAAGAACTGCAACACTTATGACAGAGGACAATTGTTTCGTTTATGCTTGCATTCAGGCTGGAGTAAATGAAGAAACTATTGACCACATGAGAGAAGTCATTCGTGTTAGAGACTTTCCTCAAAGTAAAGTACAAGAAATTTCTGACGCAACAGGTATAGCATTTAATGTTACCATTGGTTATTTCAATGACTCAAGACATAATGAAATAAAGAGATATACCAAAAGAATGCGAAACTGTTAGAACTATTGACTTACTTCTTGTTGAAGACCACTACATGCTAAATGAAAGACTTCCAATGACAACATATTCATTCGAAACTATAAAGAAATTCTCAAAGCTTGTGGTGGAATGAACATTGAGAAACAGATGAAGATTTATACAAAGAGAGAAGATAAATATGTAGTTCGTTATGATAGAACAACACCGTTATGGGATGTTATGAAAACATTGTGGGAGTGCAAATATTTCGAACCTATTTCTTATGGAGAACTTTTCACATATACTACTGACTTATATAAACAGAACCTTGCACCATTTAAAGATTTGACATATGCTCCAAAGTATTGTGTACAACTGAAGAAGAAAGCAGAGTCAAAAGAAGTAAATAAAGCTAAATGTAAATTCATACCTGAGCACGTTTTCTTTGCTGACTTTGAGTGTAGTACGGATGGCTTTCATAAAGCTTTTAACATCTGTTATGACAGTGAAGATGGTTCAGTTAGTGAAAGCATTTGGGGTCAAAACTGTGCAACAGAATTTTTGGAAAGACTTCCTGACAAGAGTTTAATATATTTCCATAACCTCAGTTATGACATAAACTTCATCTTAAGACACATGACAGAAGTGAAAGGAACTCCCATCATTAAAGGTTCACGAACAATGCAAATAACTGGTTTATATAAAGGACGGGCAATTATTATAAAAGACTCTTACAGTGTTATAAATAAGAAGCTTAAACTATTTCCTGCTATGTTTAACTTACAAACAGGACCGAAAGAAGTATTTCCATATAACTACTACAGCAGTGTTTTGTTAGCAAATGACAACAGAACTGGTGTCATTTCTGAAGCATGTAAGTTTATCCATGATGCAGATACATTTATGAAGAACATAGATTCCATCAAAGGTTGCAGAATAGATGAAAACCACTTCGACTTAGAAAAATATAGCACGTTTTACTGCAAACAAGATGTAAGAATTTTAAGAGAAGGTTTTGTAAAGTTCCGCAATGACTTATTGAAAGAGTTTGATTTAAACGTTTATGACTACGTTAGTATTTGTTCATTGCTAACAAATTGTTTGAGAACAGAGTATACTTCCCGAATGGAAATCTTTATGACCTCTCAAATAAACCAAGAGAATTTATTTCGAGATGCATTCAAGGTGGAAGATGTATGTTGTCAGATAACATGAAACAAAAGAGCAAAAAGAAACTCATTGCTGACTTCGACACTGTTTCATTATATCCTTCAGCTATAGCAAGACTTTATACTTTAGAAGGTATTCCAAAAGTATTGAAGGAAGAAATGTTAAGCACAGAGTATCTCATGAGACATTTATTCGATGATGACCAAAAGGAACCCATTGGTGAAAAGTTTATGTCTGGCTTCTTTGTTCTCATTAAGATAACAGAGATTGGTATACCCAGACACTTTCATTTAATAGTTTGCGACCCTGAACTAAATCCAGAACTTAACGTTCCAAGAAGTTCAAACACTTGCTGTCTCATGTATGTTGACCATATAACATTACAAGACCTCATAAAATATCAAGGTGTCAAATGTGAAGTGTTGCAAGGATACTATTACGATGGAAACAGAGATATGAGAATAAGAGATGAAGTAAAGAAGTTGTTTGAGTTAAGGTTAAAGTATAAGAAAGAAGAAAACCCCTTACAAGAAATTATAAAACTCATTCTGAACAGCATTTATGGCAAAACTATTCTATCTCCTATTGAGTCAAAAATAACCATAGTAGATGACAAAGATGCTATAAGATATGCTATAAGAAATTACAACCATATAGTGAAGTTCGAAGGTTTGGATGGTTCAGATAAAACTATTTTCAAGCTAACGAAAAGCATTTGCAGACACTTTAACTTCTGTCCACTTGGTGTTAATATTCTGTCTATGTCAAAACGTATTATGAATGAAGTATTCTGTACTGCAGAGGACATGGGTCTTCAAATCTTTTACCAGGATACCGACAGTATGCACTTATATAATGAAGACATCCCAAAGCTTGCAGCAGAGTTTAAGAAGAGATATGGTCGCGAACTTATAGGAAAGAACCTTGGTCAATTTCATAGCGACTTTGCAGAAATAACACCTGGAAAACAAAGTTTAGCTTATAAAAGTATTTTCTGTGGAAAGAAGACCTACATAGACTTACTCACTAACGATTTAAATGAAGTTGCATTTCACTGCAGAATGAAAGGCGTGAAGCAAGATGTTATTGCTTTAACCGCTAATGAAATGTTTCCTGAAGCTATACAATGCTATTACAATGAAGATAAGAACATTCACATACCTGTTGGAACATATGACAAAGACTCTGAGTTCAGTTTAATGAAACTTTACAAAGCACTTCATGATGGTCAAGAGATTGCATTCGACTTATGTAAGTCATGTCAACCTTGCTTTGCTGAAAAGTTCAACTTTTCAATAACGACTAAAACAAGCTTTATTCGTAAGTTGAAGTTCTGAGGTCATTTATTTTTGTCAGCAATGAGGTCATGAATGAGGTCATGAATGAGGTCATTCGTGATAAAAATAAAGCTAGCGTAGATTTTACAATACTGCGATGGTAGAGTTTAAGAGTTGTGCTTCAATGTAGAGACAGTCCTTATGGTCTGGAGGCAAGAACACTGGACATTTATGGTCATGAGTGGAGAACATGTCTATCCAAAACTCACGATTGAAGCCAGTTAATTTATAGTATTTAGGGTTAGGAAGTGGTGAAGTTCTTGTATGACCAATGAACTCATTTTCAACTCCTTTGGCTATATTAGAGTAAAGTATTGCTTGCTTTCTATCCCAAATGCCAGGTGTTACAATCTTTGAAAATTCATTTTTCCTCGGAAGCATTGCATCATAATTGAAAACATTCTTGAAATCATCACTTGGTTCAGAGATTTGAAATCTTATACGTAATGGATTTTCTTTCTTTTTAGCGACTTCATTGAATGGTGAAATATAACAAACTGACAGTCATGAGTTCCATCTTCATTTTCATTAAATTCATAATGAAAGTCTATAAGTTGTGGCTGACTACCTTCTTCTTTCAGTTGTGCAAGAAACTCACGTAAAGGCTGTAAAGTTTGTACTTCAATGTTGAACTTTTTCTCGAACATCTCATTAAATGAAATCATACATTGCAACAATGTTGTATCGTCTTTAAAGTATTTGTATATGTGAATGTTTTGGGCGCTTAAAGACTGTTCGTCATTTTCTATCTCGACTTGAAGTATAAAGTCAACCTTTCTGAAAGCACGTGTTATATACATAGATGTTATGCCAATGTACTTCTCTTCATTTATGTTCACAATCCAGTCTGTTGGAAACTTAAACGTTACTCTGTTCCCCTTTATTTTGACGTCAGGGTTTTCACTACTGAACGCAACAGATAAAGGTATTTGTCTATACATTTAGTTCGGATAAAAATAAACCATTTACTCTTTCTTTGCTTCAGCTTCTTCTCTAGCTTTCTTTGCCAGCAAACGTGGGTTCTTTTGTCTTCCAGCAGCTAATGCAGCAAGTTGTTTTTCACTAAGTTTTCTCTTTGGTCTCTCTGGCTTTTGTTCTTGTTTTTGTTCCTTCAGTTCGGATAAAATTTGCTCACGAATTTCTTTCTTCAATGCTTCAACATCTATGACACCTTGGGTCTTGTCCGTAGGGCTTGTCTGAGTCATTTGACTGCAGATAAAAAACAAAATTAAAACTTTAACCGATGTAAAATGAGCTTGTCAAAATCAGAGCGAGAGTCTATTATATTAAATGACGCAAGAGGAATACAACATCCTTTCTATTATGTAAGTCAGAGTAAAGATGGTAAAATATACGTAAGAAAAAGAAAGGTTCCATTAGCGAATGCAGAGAGCGACAACATTAAGGTGCATGGCAAGGGTGAAGTCCACGAAGCCCATATAAAACCTTCTGTTCAAACTGAAAAGTCAATAGAACCAGAAGAAAAGAAGCCAGATGTACTTTCAATAACGAACCAAGAGCTTATTGCAAAGTTCGTGAATTTCATTGAAAAACAAACCGAGTCAAAGAATCCTGACCCGCCAGTGAAAGAAGTTGAGACAAAAGAGAATGTACAGTTCATTGAAAATGTCAAGAAACAACTTCCACCACGAATGCCAAGAAGAAGAGTGAGAATAATGAAGTAAATAGATATTTTTATCCGAAGTAAATACATGCAGAACGAACAGTTAAACGAATTTACTCCAGCAGAGCATATTCATCAGATTCGCTCATATTTCGATATCATAGACAATGCAGTTCAAATTGGTGACACTAATAGAAAATATTCTGACGCAAAGATTCCATCACAACCTGGAACTGCTAAAGATAACACATGGGTAACATTCAATCTCTCACCTCCTGGTGAAAATATGTTGGACCTTTACAATACATTCATTACGTATAAAATGGAAGGTCAATTTATTGTAGATAAAGAAATTGGTTCAGGTTCCAATAAAACAAACCCACCAGGATTTTGGATTGGTTTCGATGACGCTTTCTATGCAGTTGCTGGATATCAAATCCTTGCAAATGGTCGTATCGTATATTCTCAAGACAACGCAAGAGAAGAAGCATATATAACTTCAAACTCACAAACTACCGAACAAATAAAGAAAGTAGATGTTTTCTCAAAGACTCGACATGAAGATGTATGGAGTCATTCGGGAACATGCAGAACAGGACAAATTGTTAGTGGTCCAATTACAGCAGGAAAATCATTTGATTTTAAGCTTCGTTTAAGAATTCCTGTTAGAAGATTCCTTCCATTAGAAGCTATTCGATTTATTCCAGCTTTTGCAGGAAACATTCAGCTTAAAGTAAAGTTCAGTAGCGACGCCTTACAATGCACATCTATATCTGTAAATGATATCATTGCTTTCAATCCAACTCTTAAAGTTGCATTTGCTTCAGATTCAAATCCACCGACAAATAAATTTGTTCCATGGAATGAACCATTCACTATGATAACGAAGGCAGTAGAAGCTAGTGGAACAGTTACTATTACAACTGTAACCCAGCAACTATTTCGAACAAAGATGGATTTTAATGAATGTTTCATTCATCCAAAGTCATTCTCTTTAGACCCTAACATTTATACAGAACTTGTAGAACATTATACAAACGAGGCTTTATGTTTTCCTGTTAAAGTTATGGATTGGATTCCTATGGACGGTTCATTCTCAAAGAATACAGATAGTTCAAGTGCAACATTTACAGCAGCTTATACGCCTATTAATGTTAAAAGTATTTGGGCACTATTTAGAAAGAAAGACAACTATTATGTTAATTTTGAGAACCCTAAGTTTAAATATCTTCAGCTTTCCATGGGAGCTTATGGAAATATGCCTGCAGAACCTGAAAAATCATATGGACCTGTATTTTATGAAATGGTTGCGAACGCTTGCAATACAAACAATGATATGATAGGATTTAATGAAGATGTTATGAGGTCATTGGTGGATGATGGTAGTGTGGAACATAAATGGGATAGCTATGACAACACACATTTCTTATGTGGTTTTCCAACAGAAGTGGACTTTTGCTTCCAACAAGGTCAAACATCTACTGCTCCAATAACATACAAATTGTCTGTTAAAGGACCTATTGAACTAGCAACTGAAAACGTACCAAAGCCACTTATTGGATTTATGAGGGATTGTTGCTTTGCCATTCAGGTGCGTGCTAATGGCATCCCATAATAAGATTAGATGACTATAACTTAGCCACGGACGACAGTGAGGAATAAAGGATGAACGTTTATTTTTAAAGCTTATAAATGAGTTCTTCATCAAGCTCTCGCGAACCTTCACCATCTATGAAACAAACTTTACCAAACGATTATGGAGCACCTATTGAATATTTCTTACGAGCTGCACAATGGCAAAGAGCAGTTTCACCAAGGTTAGGTGTTCCACCAGCTCCTGTCAAAAATAGCATTTGGTCAAGTCCTTATATAAGATATGGTCTCCCACTAGGTTTGCTAGCTACAGCAGGAGCAGTAATGATGTTGAAAAGAAATAAAGCAAATGTTGTAAATAATACTGAAGTAGCTGAAGTTAAACAAACTCCGACACCATCGCCAAAACCAACGCCTTCACAAACAACACCTTCAATGACTCCTGAACCTATGGAATTACAAACTCCTGTTCAAAAGTCAACTCCAAAACCGACTCCAACATTTAAACCAGAACCTACACCACAAATAAATCGTAAAACTCCTGCGTTTCCTTACTGAAAAAATAACGTTATTTTTATTTTATTTGAACATTTTATTTAGAGTAAAATGACGACTAAAGTCACTGAAGCAATGAAACAAAAATTTTTGGTAGAATACATTAAATCAGGAGCGGTTCCAGAAGGTTTTTACGTTCATACTATGAAGGATGGTAGAGTTCAGTTTAGAAAGATAAAGCAACCATTAGATAGAGAAGGTATATTAAGGAAGATTAAACTTCATGAGGACAACATTGCTGAACTTAAGAAGAAGTTAGAAGAGTTGGAGAAAGGAAGAGAGTTATAAAGTAATGAATTCAACGGGTGAAAAAAGAGGTGAAAAAACAGGTGAGATCTCACCACTTCACCTAAATTTATTTTTGCGCTATGTTTTCATACGTGTGAGGGTGGTGATATCATTAATTTTTAAGTTTATTTTTATATAAATGACAGAACAAAAATATAACATATCTACTCAACAGGAATGAGACCCTTACTGACTATGTATTCGTTTAATGCTTGATGAAAACAATGGTACATATTATCGTATGGGTATACACAGCGTCTGTTTCCATCGTCGTCGTATATGTAGAGCTCAAATCCAGTCCAACCTTCTTTTGTACAATATGTAGCTTTATTTAAGTATGCATTTATGTAGATAAGGCAATTTTCTTCATCGCTCCAGAAATAATTTTTGTTCTTTGTTGAAATAGTTTTCGTTCCTCTGCGACCATAAGGAATGTATGCAATGAACTTTGCGTCATAAGGGATTGTAATATATTCAGGGTTTCTTTCATCGTCAATGGGTCTGTCTTTGTTAAAATGCATGTTTCTCAGTTTTACTTGAGTTTTGAATAGTTCACGGAAACGTTCTGGGAAAGAGTCATAGTAAATGTAGTCGGACATGTCTTTGTAATGAAATAAAAAATTTAAAAAAAAATAAAAATAAGGTTATTTTTTATTTAGTGAGGACGGTAGTGAATTCGTTAGTGAGTTCGTTAGTGAAGTCGTTTATGTGTCAGATAGTTTTGTAAATATTTAAGGTTAAGTTGGTGTTTGTGTTTGTGTTGTAAAATATACGTTACCAGTTTCGTAAAGTGTCAAAACCGCTAAGTGGTGTACGGAGGCGCGCAGTGCCACAGTACACGACTTAGGGATACTAACTAAAATGTTGTTTTAAGTTTTAAAATTTGTAATTCAAAATTTTTTTGGAAAGATTTACGATTTTTTAATACTGCGAATGAGTTTTATTTTACATACTCTATTGATAAATCATATTTTTGTCGAGATATAACTTTTTTTAAAAAAATTATATGCAAAGAGTGTTATAGAATTCTAGAAGGTATAGTGCATAATTTGAAGTATACTATCAAATAAAGAAATTTTACAGTTTTTTAGTTATGCTATTTTTTCTATTTATTTTGTTCTAAAATTCTAAATATTTTTTTTTCATAACATAAAATATGATGTCTAGTCTCATTTACATAACAGCATGCCTTAGAATAGGTTTTTTATTCTTTTTGTCACTTTAAATTAAGAATAAAAAGATAATTTAAATTGAATATTTGCGATTATTCTCACTAATGCTGCTTCCTCTTTTATTAGGTAGACAACAAAAAGTTAGCCTTGGACTCCCATATCAGATTTTTGATTGGTTGCGTATATAATGAGCTGGGATTGATAGACGAAAACCCAGTGAGAAAATTTTTGACGCCGAAAATTTTTGTCCATGCCAGAGCACGAAATCTGTACGGAAGTTCTCTACGTATTGAAAATATATCGACCATATCTAAAATCTTAGATTCTCCGAAAATAACTTGTTGGGCTCTGATTACAGCTTTGGATCTGAGATAAGCTGGCTTATTATGCTCCTCTAGAGAATCAATGGTCTTAAGTTTATTTTCAATACATGATTACGGTGTTTGAAGTAGCCGAACAATCTCGTACATCGTTACTGATCATGAAGGCTGATAATGGCATTAGATTGGGCTGTTTTTTGCCACAAGGATTGAAATATAGTTCAAAAGTCTATGGATCTGGAGACATTTTTGTCTTTAACTTTGCACCAGAGCTGAACTGTTTCAAGTGGAGTCGAAAGAACTCCAACTTTATTACTGCTACAAATACTGAAGTTATGATTGGAGCAGGTAAGGAAGGAGGAGCTGCTATCTATTTCACAAAATTTATGGATAATGGATGGTCCGATTTCTGTGAAACATTCTCTTCTCCTCCTTTAGCTTTAAGAGAAGATTTCCATATCTTAGATTTGGAAATTTGGGATATCTCGTATAAGCAAACGAGTATTGTCAAAAAGAATGGTTAATTCTCAATTAGTTATTAAGTTTTATTGTTTGTAAAAAAATTATATAATTCTAACATTCTGAACAGAAGTGTTTCATGAGCTTTTTCATCCAAAGTAACTACTTTTTTCATAGAGTTGTTCTTTTTAGCTCATCAATAAAAATATTTATCAAAAATATCAGAAGTATAACAAATTGATCTTTAAATAAGACTTGTTTGATTGATAAGCATGTAAATACAAACAATTTATTAAGAGTAAAAGAAAATAATAAAGAGTAATATAAACATAATATTATAAGTAACAAAAATATAATATGATCTAAATAAATTATTGATAATTAGGATAGGCTATTACGATTGTAAGAAAATATAAATTTTTTTTCAATCGTATGTTTTCATAAGCCAATATCCTTTTGTAGATTTAAGCGAAGGATTGTCTAAAACTTCATTGATAGGTGGTGGAGCTTGTGGATACTTTGTGACTCCTTGAATAATTTGTGTAGTTTCTTTTGGATGTTTTAATAATTTATGAATTGAATTTAGGTTAGGAATTGGTACTTTTGCTGATACTTTTTTCTCTGTTTTTTTGTAAGGTCTGGATGGATATGAAGCAAAATGAAAAGAAGCATCAATTGGAACTTTATACATTGCAGCTGCAGCACGTGAAGATTTCTTTGCAAGTGGTGGGAGACGAACATTTTCGTCAATATCTGTATTAATTCTTGATACAGCTTTTAAAACTTCATAACTGCGTGCACTTTCTAAAGTTTCGAATTCTAATGTTGATTGTTTTCTTCTTTCTTCGCGTTTCATGCTATCTAGAAGAAGACGGTCAAAGTGTGCCATGGCTTCAAAAAAACGTATGATAAAAATTTTTATTCTGAAAACTAAAAATAATCTTCACAAAAGAACCTTGAAAAAAATTATGTTTTAAGATAATATCATAATGAAACAATTACCAATTAGAAAAACATGTTTTATATAAATTGAATCCACTCTCAAATTAATCATTCTCAAATTGCATCGATACCACGTTCATATGAAGCATTAAGCACCTTTACGCGTTACCTAAAGTCACCCCGGAATAGAAGTCTGCATAATGTAAGCGCCAGTGATGTTTTTCCTGTACCATGCTGACCTTGGAAAATTAAATGTGAATAACTCCTGTTTCAAGTGTTTTTGAATGCTTTAACAGATTCTTCTTGTTGAACAACACCATTAAGGTACTTTTGAAGATATTTTTCAACCCAGGGGAGAGTATCGTCGATTCCAATTTTATAAATATTTTGTTTTATGATACTGATAATTATACATGTGTAAATATTTCTAATGGTACAGAAAAAACTGATAATCTCTTACCTGGCCTTTTGCAACTGCAAGCGGAGTACATCCATATTTATTCTTTGCTTCTTTGTTAGCTCCAATAAAGATGAGATATTTAACAACTTCAAGATTGTCATAATTTGATGCATTATTGAGTGGAGTACATCCATATTTATCCTTTGCTTCTTTGTCGGCTCCAACAGATTTGGTTGTTTTAGTGTATGAAGACACTTTGTTGATAAGATTCATTTGGATTAAATCAAAGATGTAAATTGCCAATATTTTGATGATTAATTGTTTGATATCAAATCCTTCGATCTAGATCTTCAATTTCATATAAGTTAAATATTGCAGAAATTGATACAGCCATAAAAATTAAGTTCTTCAGGCAGTATATTATTTTTCCGTTAACATTCAATTTTTGAATTGAATTGTGAATTGTAAAGGAATAAAAAATGGAAATTTGTTGTAATGACGTCAATTGAAATTTTTCTGAACTTAATGTGATCATGAGTCGAGATTATTTTAAAAAAAATTAATTTGATTTGTAAACTTCAGAATATTCGTTACAAAAATATGAGTTATCAGCCAGCTCCACCACAAGAAGATGATTATACAACCACACCAATAAAGTCTCCACGAAAAAAGCATATGAACAGTCGCGTTCCACCGCCAAGAATTTCTCCTGAACTCGAGTTATTAAAGCAAAAAGCAATTAATGGCGAAGATATCAGCAACTGCGATTCATCGCTGTTCCCAGATCTTATTGTTGCTCTCAAACAGCAGAGAGATTTTCTGATATCATATGACCTTTACGATGATTCTGAAGAATGTGATAAAGCGTTAAAAGAAGTTATGAAATTAAATGATGCGATTATGAAGCAATCCTCGCAAAAGAAAGCTGTCGTTGAATACAAAGCAAGACTTTCTAAAGCAAAGAAAGAATTAATTGAATTACAGCACAGAGCAAACAAATTAGAAAAGGAACTTGAAAAGGATTTAGAAGAGCAAGATAAACAACTAGAAGAAAAGCAAAAGAAAGAAATAGAAGAATACGAAGAAAAATGGAATTCGGAAGGACAATTAAGGCGTTACAATCGTGCATCTGGTACCCTTAGGAATATGAAAACGCAAGCAATTCATTTACTTAACTCTCATCGCTACGAAGAAATGAGAATCGTTGAACAGCAAGCAAATAGCCTTGCTGAAAGCGAAGCAATCAGATCTCATCAGAATATGGAAGCTGACTACTCAAATGGTTACTTATTGCTTGAAAAAAAGCATGAAGCTGAAAGAGCCCAATTAAAGGAAGCCCAAGAAAGGAGAAGGAAGGTTTTTGAGAGCGCTAAAGAAATTGATGAAGATGTCCTCAAAGCAAGAATTAAAAAACTCGAAACTGCTTTGGAAGACGCATCGAATTCAAACAGAACTTACTACATGAATGTTAAGACCGCTCGTGCAAATGGAACAATACTGGCTGTTCAACCTGCAGGAATGGGAAAAAAGAGAGTTGATGTGACCAAATTTAACACATTAAAGCTTCCGGCGCTAAACCATATGCCGGAAATGTTGAGGAGGACAAGATCACCTACTACACCACGCTCTGCAAGGAATCCACCACGTGGAATGTCTTATGATAAATTTAATTTCTCAGAACTGAACTCTCCATCCCCTAATGGTCGTCCATCTCCTATGTCTCCAAGATACCAGAGATCTAACCAGCATAGATCTAATTCTGTTCATTATTATTGAATAATAAAAACCTGTTATTTATTTTTTATTAAAGATTCATACTTTTTACTAATATATAAAACACAAAAAATACAAATTGTATAATTAATTTCCGCAGCATTTTGATTTTGTTTTTGATTCTCGTAATTCTAATTGTTTTTTATTTACAATATGATCATTGATATTTGCTTTCATTATTTCTGTAACTTTGCGAATTACATTGTCAAATAACTCTTCAATCGAAGTACCATCAAGCGCAGAGGTATAAATAAACTCACAATTATACTTCTGGGCTTTTTCGTGGATTTCTTCATATGTTACTGCAGCAGATTCTTTTAAATATTTAAAACATATGTTTTATTTGCTGCAATAAATAATAATTTGCTGTCGGATTGCTTATAATACTCATTAATCCAATAATCAATATTATTGAATGTTTTTATGTTAGTTATATCAAAAACAACAATAGCTGCTGATGTATTTCTATAATAAACTTTACAAATTGAACGAAATGCCTCTTGTCCAGCGGTATCGTAAAAATTAATAGATAAATTTAAGTTATCTTCGACTATTGATTGCGTATAAACTGATGCTCCTATGGTTGGAGGACTGAATTTCGAAAAATCTGAGTTTATATGTCTATTAATAATTGAAGTTTTTCCTGTTTGTGTATCACCTATTAGAACAACACGAGTACAGCATTCCGTCAAGGGAATTGTTGACGTCATGTTGCTACGCAAATTGGGTGTAAGCATTTTGATCCATAAAATGTATCAAAATAATCTCAAAAATCTGTTTTTTATATATATTTCAAAATATTAAATGAATTCATTGAAAAAATTGAGAGAAAGGTATCTTCCGGTTAAGAAAATTTTAGTGAAAAAAACCAAAATCAAAAACCAAAAATCCTCTAGAATGCATATAATGGAACAATCCTACATATGCTATCAAATCAACCATGTGATTCATTAGATTTGTTATTAAAATGATATTCAATATTTTTAAAATATTTTTTTTTAAGTAACAATACAATAAAAAACAAATATATATCTTAATAGCTGAGATCTTGGTACTCACAATTTTTCCTTTTTTTGATTGTTGAAGCTGAGAATGATTCAGATTTTTTTTTTGAAAATGATCTGAAAAATGCCACTTGTTGTCAAAAGCACATTGTTTATATTTATTTTTGACGACCTCTTCTTTCTAATTTTGCAGCAATAGCATCATAATCCAAACCAAGATCTCTTGCCATTTGACGTAATTCTTCCTCAGATTTACCTCTAAACTCGTTTTTATTTCCTTGATTCAACATATCAGAGAACTGGAATGAAGTCTGCATTCTTTCTCTGTCACCTTGTTCTCTCAGTTTCTGTTTCTCTTTTGCCAATTTAGAAGCTCTTATTTCTCTCTTCCTGTTTATTTCTTCCAGTTCTCTCAGTTGCGACAATCTTCTTTTTTCTTGCCTTTCTGCAGCCAATTTTACATCTTCCGCTTTGAGTTTTTCTATTGCGGAATTAATCGAAATTGTTTTATTCTTTTCTTCAGCAACCTGTTGCAAAGTAATGACAGCTTTTGATTCAGCCATTTCCAAGTTCTTTTCTTTGATCTTTTGCTTTTCATAAGCTTTTCTTTCTCTTTCTTTTTTGTGTTCTTCTGATTTCTTTTCATTTATTTCTTTTTGCTGCTGGAGATACTGTATTTTCTCTTCTCTCCGCTGATTGAACAATTCCTCCTTCTTCTGCATGTTCTGGATTGTTGCTTGACGCTTCTTTTCGGTGATTTCTTCCATGTTCTTTTTAATAATTTCGATTCTTCGCTTTTTCTCCTGTTCTTCAGCTGCATTCTTCTCAGCAAGTTCCCTTTGCTTCATATCCTGTGTATATACTAAGAATTCCGCAGTTTCAGCTGCTTTTTGCTCTTCTTCTTGTAATTTCTTTTTAAGGTTTTCCACTTTTTGTGTATGAATTTTTTCAGCGTTTGCGAGCTTTCTTTCTATGTCTAGATTAGTTTCTATTGCTCTTTGGCGACGATTCTCTTCATCTTCTGCACGCTTGTCTGCTAAATATTGCGCTTTTCGCTCTTGATTTTGGAAATAATTATTTACAAATTCATTTTTTTCTTTTTGACGAGTTTCGGCTCGTTGTTGTAATAATTTGTTTCTCTCTGCTTCGTATCTGTGTTTTTCTTCAAGCTCTTTCCTTCTTTCTTCTTCTTTTTGAAGGAATTTTTGATAATCTAATTCTTTTTGCTTCTGATCTTTAAGATCAGCAATTGCTTGTAGTAGTTTTTCTTCTGCTGCATCTTTTGCGATCTTTTGAGCACCTTTTGCCGCTGCAATTGAAAGAGTTGTTAAAGCTTCTCGAGCTTTCATAGAATCAACCTCAATTTGGGATTCTTGGTAGTCTCGTAAACGTATTATTGAATCTCGTTCATCTTTTACTGCTTGAATCGCTGACTCTGCCCTTCGATTTAATCTTTGAGTGGCAACACTTAATAAAGTATCATCATGAGAATATGGAAGTAATTCTTCGTTAGTAGGATAGCATAATTCGCTCATTTGAATACCTAATATATCCATAGCTTGAAGAGATAATTCTTCATTAATTGTTCTTGGTGAATTAGGATCAAACTCGTTAATAGATATGATTTGTTTGGATCGTGATCTAACTGTTGAAGGCTTCATTTGTAGAGAAGGTAGATTTGGTAAAAAGTCATCGTTATTATCTTGAGTATCGTCATCAAATAAAGGTATATCATCGGGATTTTTCTTTTTGGGAGTTCTGTGCACAGGTTGTGAATAAGAAAGTTGATTATTTTTGACTTGTTTTGCTGGAACTGTTAATTCTGTAAGAAATGATTTTTTCTGCATGCTTGATAGGTTCATTGAGTTCATTTGCTTAAGTTCTTGTTTTCTGGTAGAAGAATTTGGATTATTGCCAAAATTTGACTTTTTCATTTGTAATTTTGGAATACAAAACATACTATTATTGCGAGATTGTTTGTTTGATAGCGTGGCATGATCTGGTTCTCCTTTGCCCATCGTGCCACGTAAATTCGTGCTCATTTTTTGCTCTTTGAATTTTTAACATAAATTTTTGTCCGTTTTTATAATTTACATTGAATATTTGCTTGAAAAGGATATCAAAATATTGATGGTGCTGATATGACATTTGAACTTTCTTAATAAACAATAATGAGATCTTGCAACATTGAAGAATTTGCATTCGATAATGATATGGGATTATTGTTTCTTATAGTACATGAATGAGATTTAGTGAACAAATACTTTCTCATACCAATATTCTCGTTTTTATTCTATGTCAAGAAGTTATAAGTGAATTGCTCAAGAAGATAATTATAATGAAATTGACGCTGTTGAAGCATCGGAAAATGTTAATATTCTAATACTGCAAAGTTTCGCATCATATATGATCTTTATTGAATATAAAAAAAGAAATGAACCAATTCTTGGTAAAATTTTGAGAGATGATTTTCTCTATAGATGGTGTTTGATCAATAGAAAATTTCAGTATCAAATATGCCATTCTATATAGGCAAACATCTAATATTAAGATACAAAAAAAAGGCATTTAATATTAGATGCAATCTTTCTCAATCTGAAATATAGAATTGATTATGGAGTGTTATACTTGAAGGTAGGATTTATTGTCTCATAGAGATCATTGTCTCAGCCGTATCAAGTTATTTTGGTAAATTGCATGAGAAAAAATTTTAAAGAAAAATATTGGCATTTTATTTTAAATTAGAAAAATTATTATGAATGGGGAAATATTTTGAACAGGAAAATAAATTCCTGATTTATTTGTGGAACATTTTTTTGCTGAATAAATATATATGATATCTGATGGTTTTAATATTGATAAATAAAAAGAATCGGGGTTAATGCTTGGTTTGTTTTGGTTATAGAATCTATTAACGACAACTTTTTCAAGGCCATTTGATACACCGAAAACAGCGCTTGAAATATAAGTAATAGATTCTGGTAAGACCACATATTTCAGATAAACAAGATTAAAAAAACAAGCATGGCGTAAAGTTTCAACTCCGTATGGGATAATAAAGAATGACTCGTTTTTTGATGCCGGATAATGAATCAAAGTTTTCATATCTTTGGTATAAATTATGCCATCGACGGAACAATAAAGTCTATTTGCAGGATCAACATCAATATGTGATAATTTATAGCTTCCATCAAATGGATTTGCAGAAGTTAGATAATTAACATTAGCAGGGATTTTTAAATATTCAACCTTGGTGTATGATAAAATCTCATCTCCTATGCGTAATAATGACGGTGGAAAGGTTACATTCTTTAAATTGGTGAATTTTTGAAAACAGTAATTCGGAAGAATAGTAAAACCATCTGAAATGGTTATTTCAACATAATTATCATATATTATATCATCTGGAAATGAAACTGTTGCGTTATTATTATACGGTAAAACATAACTTTCACCCAATAAAGGGAAAAATGACAAAAATTCAATGAATAACCTTAAAAATTGAAAGTTATTTTGTTCACTCAAAAAATTCGATACTACTAGAAATTTCGAATGTAATTTGTGGAAGTTTAAGATCAAAGATGTCCTCGATCAGATGACAAATTTTTACGGTTAAGTTTCGCCTATATTGGTTCGATTTATGATTCAAATTGAGAAGTGATATAAAAAAATCATAAAATCATTTATCAAGGGTGGGAAAAAAGTTTTTGGGGGCTTTGAATGGAAATTTCACCTCATCAGAATGATATACTGAATTGCAAGCTTTCAGATTCGATCCAATATGCTATTTGATCTTGAATTTTATCGACGTGAATAATTGATGACTTTCTTGATTTATATTTTGATTCAAACATCTTTAGTGATTAAAAACAATAATAAGAAAATAAAGTTTTTATTTAGAATTTGTGGGATTATTCCTTGGTGACACAAATGAATTTAAAAACATCTTTAGTGATTAAAAACAATGATAAAAAAATAAAGTTTTTTATTTAGAAGCAGGAGGATTATTCCTTGGTGACACAAATGGCTTTCCTGACTCATTCAATGAGTAGTAAAGCTCGTTGTCAGAGCCATAAACGAAAGTTGGTTTTCCTGGTGTTTGTACAACCTGAGAAACAGGAGCAGCACCGAGAATTGCAGCTGTTTCTGGGTCTTGTATTGAACCAGAAACTGTTCTGTAGCCCATTCCGCATGAAAGACATTTTGTGCATCTCCTTGCAGCTGCTGCTTCATCGAATTCTTGTGTCATGTGCTTAATCAACGTTTCAAGTCTCTTCACATCATCAGTAGTTGCAAATTTGCCATCATTTCCTTCTTTTGCCTGAACCATTTGAACAACATTTCCGAGACTTGACTTGAACTTCTCGAAAAGTCTTTCAATCAATGATCTGTCTGGGCGATCATTCAAATATCTTGCCAATTTCTTGAGTTCTTCATTTGTATTGGCATTTTGACTGGAGAGTTGCTGTTCAAGAGCTGCAAGACGTTGTCTGAGTTGAGAAATTGCTTCATTTGGATCTGATGATGGTAAATCTGGTAATGGTTGCAAGTTTGATTGCCTAGGAGATGTCTTTTGTGAAGATGATGGTGGTCTGACTGGTAAATCTTCATTTTCATTGGAGTTTTTGTGATCTGATGATTGAGATTTGTTGTTTGAAGAGTTTGTGTTGTCTTTGGTGGAAATTTGATCTTTAGAGCTTGATTTAGTAACAATGTTACTTGAATTAGCATCAGAGGAACGTGTTTCTGGATTAATATTTGAAATTTGTTTTTGAGTATCTGAATTTCCTGAATTACTATGGATCTGATTGTCATTTGATCTTGAAACGCCTGATTGTGATGGTCCAGAACTCGATTGCTGGCTCTGATTGTTGTTATTTGATGAATTTTGGTTGTTATTGGCATAGTTTTGATTTCCTAAATTATTTACATTTGTTCTATCATTACTTGATGACATTTGTTGTTGATTTACAGAATTTTGAGGTGAATTAATTTGAGATGAGGAATTATCTGAATTTCCTGAAGAAACTTGTGGTGCAACAAAGTTTCTTTCAATAGAAGCTCCACAACGATGATCATGACCAGATGATTGAGAATTGTTATTTTGATTTTGGTTATTCTTAAGATCTCTTAATGCTTTTTCGATATTGGAGATTGATTCTTCAGCTGTATTCAGTCTCCTTCCTAACACTCCGATCTTATCACTGAGATTTGAGTCGAAATTCTGAGAATTATTAGAATTTTGTTTATTTTCTCCATTTTGCACTGTATTAGATGGTGTATTTTGTCCTGAAGTCGACGGAGATTGGAACTGAGCGTTTTCTAAAGCTCTAATACGATCTGTATTATTTTGGATTTTATCTGAATTATTTTGAATCATTTGCTTAAGTTCATTAAGTGTATTAGGATCAAAATTAAATGAATTTGCATTGTTGTTGCTATTTCCTGCATTATTTGAATTAGATTCAATATTTACAGGATTTTCATTATTTTGATTAATTTCCTTGTTTGTGGTGTCTTGGCTATTTGATTGTGAAGCATTTTCTGCTGATGTTATGGTATTTTCTGGATATTTTCTTTGTTCAAGTTCATTTATACGTGTTTCATGGTCTTTTAGTGTATTATCGTGTGCTGAAACCTTATCATTGATGCCTTGTATTTCCTGATTAAGTTTTTCTTCTAAATTCTGTAAATCTTGTGTCAGTTTAGAAATTTGAGCATCATGTGTTTCTATCTTATCATTTGTATCATTGAACTGTGCCTGGACCTTGTCATCATTGTCTTTGATGAGTTGCTGTAATTCTTCTGCTTTCTGATTGAATGATTTTTCTAATGCATCAATTTTAGAATCAGTATCTGCTTTGTTATTTTCAACTGTTTCGCGAAGTGATTCAAGGTCTGTTTTGTCTGTTTTAGAAGGTAACGTTTCGAGGATTGTATTAATACTTTTTTCGTGTTTGCCAATTAAGTCTAAAATATCCTCTAATACTTTCTGAAGAGGACTTATTGAAAATGTCATAGGAATGAGACCTCCTTCATGTATCCGATTTCGAATTTCTTCTTCAGCCATTTTTTTTTATTTTTATCAACGAGAAAAATTGAAACTGATGATATCTTTACATGAGCTGATGTAAAATGATGATCTGATATACATAGCAGCACTGTCATCAAGCCATCCTCCTATAGCATGCATCAGATCATGATGTGTTTGTATGAATAATATCTCACCATTAAAACAAGTAGTTTGACTTTAAAACTAGAATCACAAACTAGTTTCTATGTTATATATTGCTATAATCTATGATAATGTTACATTTTTTGCAAATATATTTCTTATTGAATCAGATTCTATATACTTTTTGTTGTTCTAATTAGAACATGATAAAAAATATGCATGATGTCATGAATTTTAATCTAAATTTATAAAAAATATCCAAAAGAATTCAATCGTTGATAGTTTTCTATCATAATATAGATCATCTTTCTTTGAACGTATCTATAATTAATGTGATATAATGTTAAGATCTGATAATAAAATTTCAATATTTGTTTTTGAGGAAAAATAACAATGAAATATCAATATTTTAATATAATAGTAAAACAGTATTCTCTTTGATTCTTCATTTTTAAGAATGTCTAATGAAGAGCGATCTCAATATGGAAATCCAATTCCAGAAGAATTCTATCATTGTATTAATATTGAAGATGCCGTATATAGTCTTACACCAGAAAACTTAGATCGTCTCGCTAACATTCTTAAAGATAAACCAGAAAGTTATCACGATTACGTATATAGGTGCATTGCATCAGCTACCCGTTGTCATATTTTCAGCATGAAATTATATGGTCAGCTGTGGTTTGCTCTTGGCTGGGAACAAAAATACGTCAGTGATCATAATTTCGATAAATACGTTGCCTTAATATCAGAAAACCCAAAATTTTGCGATAACCCTTCTATAACTTTCGAATCAACTCCTTTACGTTACGAAAGGCCTCCGATGTGTGATTTATTTTTACTAATTTTTAAGAACCAGGTCACCGAAATACAAGAAATCGTTAATAATGATCCCAGTATCGTCAATAAAATGTATTTCTTTGAAGGATATAATGTTAATTCTGTTGATTTCTGTGCATTAATAGGAAACTACTTAATATTCCAGTACTTTGTTAACAAAGGTGGTGAAATTACTGATTCAACTGTCGAATATGCAGTAAGAGGAGGAAATATCAACATTATTCACTTTTTAGTTCAAAATGGCTACATGTTAAACGACTGCGTTGATGTTGCTATTGAATTTCATCATACAAGGATTGCAGAATTACTAATTCGAAACTATCCAAGCGAAGAAATGATTGCAAAATGCTTAAAGGCAGCTTTACGAGGATATAATACTCAAGGCTTATACCTTCTGAAGATATTTGGTCTAGATTTTGATCATGATGACTTTTCTAATCAATTTGTTCCATATTATGCAGCTCAATACGGAAATCTTGTTTTAACAAGGTATATGATAGAAAAGAATGGCTTCTTTATTAATAAAATTAATAGATCTGGGTATTCTGCCCTTCATTACGCTGTCAGATCTGAAAATCTCGAATTAATAAAATATCTTATCACAAAAGGAGCGAATATCAACATCAGAACTGGTATGGGAGAAATTGTTGAACATAAATTTCAGCCCTGGCAGAAAGAAGAAGAAGTTTATGAGATAAAATTCACAAATAAACTTCCATTTGTCACAAATTACAACTTTGACCCATATTCTAGATCACAAGATAAGAATTTTTACGAAAAAAATGGAATGACACCATTAATTCTTGCTGTTCGTGAAAGTTCTCAGTGGGTTAGTGATTATTTGTTAGAAATCGGTGCAGATCCAACAATTAAAGATAACAGAGGCAATGATTACTATTATTATATAAATAGAATCCAACAATTTGCTGAAGAGGAAGAAGATTTTTACGATGAAATATCTTCTTCTTAATATATTTAACTTTTTAATTTGTTTTGTTGCTTTAAACTATATTTGTTGTTGTATAAATACATTTCCTTAAAAATCATCTCCAATTAAATGAATTAAATGAAATCCTCTCACTTTTCTTGCGCGTTTAGGTCATATAGACTAAATTCATGATAAAACTCTTAATATTTTTGTATGGAACTCGTTTTTCTGATTATTTTGTTGTTTCAAACAAAAACTATTACGATATAATGATTTTCATTATTTGTATTTCAGATAATTGCGATATAATTTTAATAAGAGAGACAATGTCAAAGAGATCTGATTAATGCTGTTTGATTACCAATGTTGATGTCTTATATAATAAATTGTGCGCAATTTTGATTCCATTCAACATTTGGACTCCATTTTAAAAGCTTGACTACTTGAAATATTCATTAGTTCATTAACAAGAAATCATTATTTCTAAGTAGAAAACAACATTGTGATTATTATAGCTAATGCATCTAGAACATGTGTATTCTTTTAATATTTTTTGTTGCTAAATGAAGAGGTGTTTTACCTTTTTCTATTCCCATTTGATGAATTAAAATTGAACGAAATTATAATGAAAACATCAAAAAAAAATCAAAATAATTATGAAATTAATATTTAAATTTTAAATCTGTTTAAGGGGCTTCTGCATCATTTCCTTTCTTGGCCTTAAAAACAAAGAGCCAAACAAGAACGCCAACGATAATTCCAACGACAACAATAACGCCAATCACAATTCCGGCTATTGCGCCACCTCCAAGTTTACCATCGGAAGAATCTCCTTCCTTTGAAGAAGAAGCTTCGTTTTTGAGATCACCAAGTGCGAAAAGGTCGGCTTTTTGAGGGATCCAGCCAGCAAAATCAGGGAACCATAATTTGTCGCCTTCTGTTGTACTTTCATATGTGATTGTAGCTTTAACTTCGGCGTTTTCGCCTGCATTTTCATGTAGGCCTCCATATGCTGTACCTGGACCTGTAATTGTGACTTCATTAGGAGCTTTATTTTCATCTTCGGGTTTATCAGCTACATCATGAATTTGTACTTTATCTTTTGGTTCACCAACAACTTTGATGGTATTCTTTGTTAGAAATCCTGGATAAATAATGATTCCACGTTTCAAATCAACTTCAAACTTACCACTCTTTAAGGAAGTAAGATAAAGTCTTTGGTCAATTTTCTCATCTTCATCTTCTATTGCATATGAAGGCATAGCCTCTGTTTTTATTTGGATCTTGCATTCTTTGGAGCTATTAGCGCACTTGACAGTAGCTGTATATCCATCTTCTGATACCATTGATGGATTATTAAAGAAAAATGGGTTCTTTACAGTCTTAATGGGTTTTGAAAGATCCGACATTTTATACTAATCAGCTGTGATTTCAGATTGGCTAGCTAATGAATAAGAATAGGCTGAAATCTCTCGGCATTCACCTGCTTTTAATGTTAACTCTACTATTTCATCTAATGATTTCAACTCATTATCAACGATTGTTGGGCAATCCTTAAAATTGTTTTCATCTAATTTAATCCTCTTATTTCTAAGGCTACTTGCAATGCATAGAAATGCGCTTAACATTAGTAAAAATGAACTGGAAAAAAAATTATGAATGCATTCTCAAATTCCTTACGACTTTAATTCAATTTCTGAAAAAAGTCTCAACACAATTTTCAATGCTCGATTTTTAAAATTTATTTAAAAATGGAGTTTATATTGAAATAGTCTTGAGACACTAAATTTCATCAGACTTTTCAGAGGATTGAGTTGTTACACAATCCTCTGAAAAGTTTGAAGAAATTAACTAATTCTCTTGCATTCAATATACAATTTTCAATTTTTAATTGAAAATTGTATTATTGAAGGCAAGAGGATGCAGTTTTCTTGCACAACATTTGAATTACAATTCAAAATTGAAATTCAAAAAGTGCAAGAAAAGTGCTAAATTTAAACGATTTTTACATGTTTCATCTATTTTTGGAATGAATGATAGTGACTCAAATAGCAAAATAAATTCTTGAAACTATAATTCTGAGTATTTGAATAACGGTCATTTCGTCAACTTTTTATTCTGGACTAAACTACAGTTTGGAAATATCTAAATTTAAATTAAAGAAAATTCAATCATGAATATCTTTAAGACAGTGTGGAAAATAATAATTAATGATATTATTTCTAAAATTCAATGACGCGAAAATCGAATTTTGATTTAATGATATTTTCTTTCAATTAGTATTTTAATAGGTGAAATTTAATTATAAAACATTTTTTAAATAAATTATGAAAATCACAAAAAAAATAAGAAAATTAAGCTTGAATATCTTCAACAACATCAACATCTTGAACATCATCAACAACATCATCAGCCACATCAGCAATAACATTATTTAACGATGTTGGATTTTGATTTTCCTGATTTTGTTGATTTGTTTCTTTTTCATCATCTTTTGGAGCATTTTCGATTTGTTCTTGGTTGTTTTCACCTTGTTTGGCTTCTTGGTCTATTTTTTCATCATTATTTTCATTTTCTTGATTTTCATTGGAATTTTCTTGCTTATTATCTTCTTTGTTATCCTCTTCCTCATTTTCATTATCTTTGTGTTGTTGTGGACCTTCGTACTTTGGTTTTTCGCTTGGATCTGGTAATTCTTTTCCCTGAAGATGATCTGCAATGATAGACCTCTGGTAGTTGATGATTTTATTAAGATAAGCTATGGCGACATCGTATTCTTCGTTTTCTTTTTGACTTAATTCGTTATATTTGTTTAATTTGTTTTGATGACGTTCATTTGCATCTTTGACCTCTTGTATTGAGCACTCTATTGATTCACCATCGTTCTCACGTGTGAGAATTACTGATTCGTTCTTAGTTCTGTAGCATTTTGTTTGATACGCTTTAATTTTATCGATAAGGTTAGTATTTTCTTGTTGTAATTGACTTAATTCGAATTCTTTGTCTTCTATTGATGACTGTGAGGCTTTTTTGTCTGCATTTGTAAAAAGTGTTTGGTAATTTTTGTTTCTTGAGGAAGATTCACCCAAATTGTCTTGTATTCTTTGGTATTCGGCAAACGCAATTAATATTTCTGTGCGAAGCTCTTCAACATAGCAGTTTCTGTCATCTTTCTCCATTTGTTCAAGTTGTTGATTCAATGTGTCAAGTGTATTTTGCGCACTGGTTACACTATGTGAGAGATTGTTGATTGTCGATTGACGTTTGTTCTGGACACCAGAAACGCTTGCTTTTGGTCCTGTAGTGTGAGCAATCACTTTAGATTGCTGGTTGATTCTGTCTTTAGTTCGGCTGAGTTGTGTTTTCAGGATTTTGATTTCCTGATCGAGTTTTGCGTTCTTAATTTTAAGGTCATAAATATCTGATGGTTTTCTTTGAGGTCTCTGCGAAGTAGAAATAGAACCTGTAGAACTCCTTAGAGATGGTCTTCCGCCATATCCATTGTTAGAAAGAAGAGGTGTAATTGGTTTCATTTTTTTTTCCTAAAAAATGTTCGTTATTTTACTCCGATGTCACTTTTGAGCACAATATTTTTCAAGTTTCTAGAACGGATAACAGAAATAACTAAAATATGAATGAATTGTTCGATTTTTTAGCAAGAAATATACTTGGTATACTTACTAGCATTCATTCTTGGAGACCTCAAGGTTCTTTTCGAGTGAAAAGAGAAAATAGTTCATATGACCAAAAAAAAATTAACATCTGATGATTAAATTCCTTTTCAATAGGGTAAAAAATAGCCGAGTCACTTTTTGAATTCTCTAAAAAATTTTATAAAAAAATGCTCATATGATAATAAAAATAGATTTTTACTAGTAAAGTAGGTGAGATAACTCATGAAAATCTCGTAAGTCTGTAGGAGAGCATGAGACAAAGATTTTGGAAGAAGTTCGTGGGGGAACTTTAAGGTAATTAAGGATATTTATTTTGCGATAACCTAAATTGAGCTTTGAATCAAAGGGGAATAGGCCTTGCCTTTGAGTAGAAATGTTGTGTTGGATTTTCCAGAAGAGCAAATCAATCTGTCTTCATAGGTTTAGAGCTCGGGGGCTCCATTTGGAAATAAATTGAGATAAAATTTTGAATAGTTGTAATTTAGATAAAATGTAATTATTATAATCATATGAGTATTTTTTATAAAATTATTTTAGATAATTCAAAACGTGACACAGATATTTTTTTCGACGCCTGCATTGAAAAAGAACTAAAATATCAGAATGTGACTTTTTGACTTTTTGAGCGGAGCGAAGCGGAGCTCAAAAAGTCAAAAAGTCACACGGATATTTTTAATTTATTATGTTAAACTAGAGAAATTTACTGCTTCAACAAATGAAGTTTTATAAACTTTGTTAATAATAATTTTGATGTCTTTCAAATCTAATTCATCTTCTTTAAATTTTTTACGTGAATCTTTTTTATTTTTTCCTAAATTTGCAGCAGGACAATAATACGTCGAATAATGAGATATAAATGAATCTAATGGTTGAATTAATTCATATCTAATTGGATCACCATTTACAGTTTGAGTTACATTGTTTTCATTAAAGTAACAATTATCAACAATATTTGGTCTTGGATAAAATAAATAGTTTCCTTTATTTCCTATGAATGAACAACTTAAAAATGTAGTTGAATGATCAGAACAATAAATTATTGAATAATAATTTCCTGTAAATTCATTGTTTAAATAATTACATTTTGTAATATTACAATCATTATTGAATAGTGAACCAACTTCTGTAGATGATGAATTTGATGCTGTTGTGAAATTAATAATTCCTGTTTCTGTTGGACCTGTAATGATATATGCAGCATAATAAGTAGTTTTGTGATTAGATGTATTCATATTACTTACTTGGATATCTCCATACATATGATAAAGAGAAGCCCTGAATCCACTGCATTGTGAAACTGAACATTCAAACGCATAACTTTTGTTGTAACTATTATAAGCTGATTCAATGAAATATCCACATCCTTTATTGGTACTTTTTGAAAGTAATAAACAAATATGAACTAAGACACAGTCAGATTGGTAGATATAGAATGATCCACCTTTTTCTGGGGAGCTATTATTGTAAAATGTGCATGTTTCGAGTAATACTTTGCTGCTAGAATTAAGGGAAATTGATGTATTTTCGTAATGGAAAGAAAATATTGTATGATGAATGTAATAATTGCCATTTCCAGATATAGTTTCGTTCTCATTTTTATTATTATACTCAACTGTACCGTAATATTCTGAAAAACTTCTTTGAAGTTGTATAAAGTGCTTCTGAGTGATTGATTTTGTTTAATTCGCATTTCTGAGTATTTGTTCATGTGCATAATCTTGGAATTATCGCTAAATATAGTTTTGGTGCTGTCGGGACTCCAAATTTGACTTCCCTATGGAAAATGTTTTTTTTTTACTTTTACCCTCCCGAAATAACTTGTTGATATCGATAGAGCAACACTATGATTGGCCAGATCAAAGGCTACATAGTATCCAAACTAGAAGATAATGATACTTTTGTAATTATTCTCCGAACTTTTAAATGAGATGCATCGCACTCATCAGTCCTTTAAAAAGATATAATATCATTGGCAATAAGTTAATAATATCATATATTTTAATGAACGAAATTGAAATGCAAGATTAGCACAAGACAAAATCAAATTCTAACAAACAATTATGACTGATAAGTCTAAAAAATAATTGTAGATATAAGATATAAAAAAATATATTTAATATAAAAAAAATTATTTCAATCCGAAACCTTCAGTGTGTTCTAAAGCAATCAGTAAGTTCTTCTTCATCTTCTCCTTATCCTTGTAATCAGGGAGTGCGAAGATGTTGAAACAAGTATGGGAAACAGGTAATTTCGTGTCATCAGCTGATCTTTGTATGACTAAGTGAGTTTGGGCCAATCCGCCAACAGGAGCCTTATCAGTACCTGTAGAGAACAGCAAGAACTTGACCTTTTTCTCTTCAGGGAGCTCGTTGAAGATTTCCCAGAACATTTTAACTGATGTCGATGTTTCTTTGTAGCCTTCTATGTACTTTGTGCCGAGTCTGAGGGCATCCCAGTCGAATACGTCCTCGCCTGATACAAGAACTTGTAATTCGTCCGGTGTAAAGATCTTAAATTCAGGGCGATGACATAATTTGTCGAATCCCTTCTTGAAAGCGTCAAACATCTTATCAACTGACTTATTCAAGTACCAGTCGACGTAAAGCTTGACGTAGTTATCGAAGTTCTCGCTTGTAACTGGGATATTTCTACCATCTGTGATTAAATCTTCAGTAACTTGAGCATCGAACTTGTTGTAAGTGACAGAGAATGTTAAGCAGCAATCCTCGATGTCTTCACCTGCGGCAACAAGCTCTTTAAGGCTCATAAGAGATTGATATTCTTGTGGCATGATTTCCTTGAGATCTTCTACGGAAGTTGCGAGTTCTTGAAGCTTCTTGTACATCACACATGGGAATTTGATCGGAAGGATAACGCCATTGTAAATAGCTAAGCCAATGATCGTACCCAGTAAATTGAATAGGTATGTTTGTTCGATGGATGAAATGTTGAACCAATAGAAAGAGTTATCGATAAGGGTGAACATGCCATGGTCGGGATTGAACAATTCGGCAGTAATCAAGTAGAAGAACTCGCGAGAAACACCGCCGGCATCAACGCCAGGCTCATTTTCGAATTTGACCGTAAGACGACGCTGGAGCTGCTTTTGGCTGACTTTGCTGAGCTCACGGATGGAGTCTTCGATAAGATTAGAACGTCTGACGCTGATTACTAACTGGATATCGTTTTCATTGACTCTTCCTCGAAGGAAGCTCTCGAAAAGACTGTCACGAGAGGCCATCTCTTGGTCTGTGCTAAGGACGGCACGGAGGATCTCTGATTTTGTCTCAATATTGATTACGGCTCTTGAAGGTTCAATTGAGTTCAAGTTGAACCTGTGAGTCTCCTTAATATCGTTTATGATCTTCTCTGAGAATGGATCGTTGTAGAAATCTCGTGTTTTGAGGATAGAATTTGGAGAATCACTGGAATCACGTAATCTGATGAGGAAATCGGTTGTTGTACCGTAAATAGATTGTGATTCTGTGAATGTTACTGGTCCTTCGTGAAGAAGAGCCATTAATGTGAGATTATAATGACACATTTGGAGATAATTGTATGCAAGATGTGGGGATGCTCTGAATTGATCGAATAAGTCAAGTCTGGCATCCTTTGGAAGGCTCTTCTGCATTTTATCCATCAATTTTACATATATCTCAGAAACAATTCCGTTTTCATCATCAAAGTAGAATCTGAAAGCACCAATAACAAGAAATGCTCGTAGATAATGGGCTGAATAATCATAAGAACTGACGATTTGATTAATCAAGTTTGTAAACTGAGATGTGAAGGTAATGAAGAAGTCAGAGTATTGATAGAAGAGTTCTGAAACATCTTGAATCAAATCATCGTTGATAGAAAGGTTCTTTCTTGTAATCATTTGGTCATTAACAAGGAAAAGGTATTCGAACTGTTCAACTGATGAGAAGATTGTGTTAAGTAAGGTTGTAAGTTCAGCTTTGACTTCATCAAGGTTTTTCTTGGCAATTAATGTTTTCAAAATTTCTGCAAACTTTTTAGAGACTTCTATGTATTCTGGATGAGCAAAAGCCGGTGGGAGACCCTTGCAAATGTGATTGGTATAGTCTTTTGCAAGAGTGATGGCTGTCTTCGCTGCTTCGTTTGGATTTGCAAAAGAATACATGAAATCCTTGCAGGATCTGCATTCCTTGTTATCACAGTTATACTTGTTGCAACCATTAGTCAATTGATGAAAAAGTGCATGGACAATGGTTTTTGCATTCATTTTGTTTTTTTTTCCAATAAAAAAATTTTTTTAGCTGAACAATTTATCCAGATTTTTGTAAAACGTGAGTTTTTCGATTTCCAATGAAATAGAGAAATAGTTTCTGGCTTTATTTTTACCAACACTCGATATGTAAACCCAAAATTTTCTAAAATTTTTTATTTATTAATGAATTCTGATTTGTCAATGTATGTATAATCCAAATCCTCTTATAACTTTTTCCAAAATTACCAAAATCTTCGATAATTAATTGAAAAATTGTTAAAAAATATTTTAAAAAATCTAAAATGGAAAAAATTTGGAATTTTTGGAAAATTTTAAATCGAGAAAACTATAACTATTTTTGATATAGATTGTAATCATTATATAAAATTTTTTAAACTTCAGATTTTAATTTCAAAATCTTTTGAGCTTACACTTTTCTAAGATTATTTTTAAGTACTTATCATGTACACTTCATGTGCATTATAATCCAATTTCTTTTGTAAAGTTGCAAAAAATTCACTCAATCGAATGCATACGCGCTTCTTCATTCCTACGAAGAAGGAGACTGAGCAAACCCAAGTCACTTTTGATGTAGATGCGAATTACGATGAGAAGCTAACCTTAGATCAATTACTAGAGAAAAAGTCAGTTGATGCACTACTTATGCAATCATTTCAAACAAGCGGACCTTTTGAGAAATTCTTAATGCAAAATTCGCGGTCATATCTTCTTCTTAACCTCCACAACTTTAAAGACGAGAAATTTGATCCATTAACAATTCCAAATTCTTGTTATGATGACATAAAAGCTGCGCTCTTCTACGAATTAAATTATGAAGGCTTTGTGCTATCAACACAGAATGGAGTAATCGGAAATTATCACTATCATCCAAACGTTTTTCCATTATTAGATTCTCTGGAAACTGGCATCGTAACTCCCCTATTTTATGCGTTTTTATCAGAAAACAAGTTTAGTGGTTATAGTGAAGGAAAAATTGTAACGCAAGTAACAGATTATCGATTTACTCAGCCAAGGAAGAGCTTTATCTTTCTAAGTATCGACGAAAAAATCTTCCAACAATACATTGATAGTAAATATCGCCATATGACGAACAATGATAGAATATTAGCGGAACAAAAAACATTATTAATGATGAACCCTGCAATTTGTACAGATCCAAATCCGGATGTCTCAAGGCTATCGTCAATAATGGATGAAAATAAAAAGATTTGGAAAAATACTCGACAAAGAACAGAACGTGAATTTAAGAATATACCGAAGCTACCTGCACCGGCTAGAAGCGTTGTACAGTTCAATAGAGAAAATATGCCAGAGAAAGTTTACGCTATTTCTCAGATTTCTTCGATTATTGCCGCAAATTGTCGTATAATGGGCGACAAATAATATCTTTTGTTATTTATATCTCTTTGTTTCGTAATAAATGTGTTTTATTTAGTTGTATTTCGATTATCTTATTGAAATTTCAGAAATTCAAATTATTTAAATAGTTAAAAGAAATAATTAGTGATTAACTCGTTAACTAATCATAAGTGATCAAATCCTCTGATCAGGTTTCAAAAACATCCATCAAATGCAGATAATTTTTATGTTTTTGTTAATTTTTTTAAATAAAAGATATGCAAACTCATCTTCATGACTTGAGCTTCGGTTTCTTCTGCTTCGCAAACATTAAAAGAATCTAATGTGAAAAAAATTTGAATTTGAGATTTTGTTTGAGAAAATAAGTGTTAACACAAATAATGGTTGCTGTCTATTGATGCTAAATTCAGGACAACTTTTGAGATTTCTAAAAAATTAAGAATTAATTTAAAAAAACTATGAAGTTAAACAATAGAATCAAAATACTACTTTATTAAACACACGAAGAATTAAAAAAAGTTTGAAAGAAAATTCATTCATTATTTTTTTTCAAAATTACCAAGTACTACTATCAAACATTAACACACGGAATATTGATGGTATCAAGAATCCAACAATTGCTATTATAATCGAGAACCAACGAGAATGTGCCAAAGAAATGAAAGAATTATGAATTGCAATGGCTCCGAAATAGAGGAAGCTGCCTAGAAGTAAAGAAGATGAAACAGCGAAGAAGATATCGCATGCCCTTGATGACATAATTGACTTAATTGATCCGAAAACTCCAACACAAATTGCATTGAGTATTGCAACGAAAATATACCAAATATCTGTCATTTGTGTGTCACGTAATATCGTACTGATGCATAGAATCTGGAAGAATCTTACAGGAATGATATAAGGTAATCTATGGTTTAAATCATAGATATTTGTATACATAGATAGTGTTTCACCAAAGGAAATGCATTCAACAGTGGATAAAACGAATAAAATTATTGATACAAAGTTATCCCAAAAGTTAAATTTTGGAGTTTCTTCGATTTCTTGTATTTTATCTTCTGATGAGAGCATCGGGGTGTTGTTTACCATATCGCATTTTACTAAAAGTGAATCATCTAGTAATGCAAGCGAATCATGAAAGAATGAATAAAATGTTAAAGTTGTGAAGGCGAAGAGTGCTAAAAGGAAATTATAAGGATATCCAGAAGTTCCATCTGCTATTGAATCAATTGACATGAATGTTAAGGCATCGGAAATCATTATTGATCCGAAAAATATTTCGGAAAGGTCTTTTCTCTCGAATTTGAGGAAGTAGGAAATCACGTATGCTACTATTGTTGCAAAAGATGCTATACACGAGTATATAATCTTTAAAGTTTGTATATTCATGTGAAATCTAAAAAATTATAATTGTAACGATTATTTTCGATTCAAATGCGGTTCGATAATAAAAGCAAAAAATAATCACTACAATATTGTTTGAGTTCTTATGTTGCATGCTAAGTTCGGTCAACGATAGGAATTGAGGGGAAATTAATCGTCGAGGAAGTACGATTATGTAAAGTAAAAAATGTTGTGGGATTTTTAATATTGTATATAATTTTATAATAAAATTTTTGTGAGACATTTTAAGAAGCACATATAATTTTTTGAATTTAAAAATTAAAGTAGTGTTGAATGAATTTAGTGATTAATTTAATACGGATATTTCTCAAAATTAATCAAAAATAGGTTTTCAGAGAACTTTTGAGATATCTTTTCAAAATGTCTTTTTGAAAATATATAAGTATTATATCAAATTGAAAAAAGGTATTTATCAAAATTCTAAATTCTTAATAAAAAATAACTTTTCAGAGGATTGTGATTTTGAAAGCATGAGTAATAAGTAAAAAATATCTACGATTTTAATGAGGGAATTGTTCCTTATGAGGTATACATTATAACTATATATACCTCATAAGGAACAATTCCCTCTTGATAGCTGGGAAACTTTCTCTGAATAACTTATCATTTGGAGAAAGTTTCCCAGCTATCTATTAGAAACTAAAGGCTGTGAGGCACTAATATATAATCAGTGCCTCATAGCCTTTAGTTTGTTATTAAAAACGAGAAAACTTGTTCGAAATGATAAACAATTGCGAACAAGTTTTCTCGTTTTAAGGAGGGAATTGTTCCTTATGAGGTATACAGTATGAATATATACCTCATAAGGAACAATTCCCTCTTGATAGCTGGGAAACTTTCTCTGAATAACTTATCATTTGGACAGAAAAAGTGACACTTTACATGGCAAAAAATAGAGCCTTACTTTTGAGATACTTGAGATTGAAACTGAATCTTATGAGGCGGTGATCTTGAATCACTACATCATAAGGTTCAGTTTCATATAAAATTTGTTGCAATTTGTTATTCTTTTGCAATTATTTCTTATAAGATTTTACATCTTTTAGCGGGGAATGTTTTTATCATGTATATATTATAAATATCTACACGATAACGAACATTCCTCGCTAAATTGCTGAGAAACTTTGAGGAAATGTCGAACAATTTCCTCAAAGTTTCTCAGATTTATATAGATCACTAGAGTCCCCTAGGCACTGATTCTGGTTCAGTACCTAGGAGGCTCTAGTTCTCTAACGAACTGATAAAATGTTTTTAAATTTTTGGATATTGCTACCTGTGAAGCACTGACTTCAAGTCAGTACCTCACAGGTAGCAATTACATTGAAAGATGGGAGAAACTTTGTCCGAATGTTAAACTATTCGGACAAAGTTTCTCACATTTGTAGTGGAGATGGAAGGCTTTGAGGTATATTGTATTAATATATACCCCAAAGCCTTCCATCTCCACTTGAAAGTGTCCAAACTTTGGGTTAATACTTTGCAATTAACCCAAAGTTTGGACACTTTCTAGAAGGAATTGGAGGGTAAGAGATATACATTCATATGGTATATCTCTTACCCTCCAATTCCTTCTTAAAATGGGAGAAACTTTGTCCGAATGTTAAACTATTCGGACAAAGTTTCTCCCATTTTTTGAAGGAATTGGAGGCTATGAGATACTGATGCAATGTCAGTAACTCATGGCTTCCAATTCCTTCCTAAAACTCATAAAAGTGGACATTACATGCATATAAAATTTGACATGTAAAGTCCACTTTTTGTGAGCGGGGATTTGACTCCGTCAAATCCCTTTTTCGTTTACGAGAAAGCCAAATTCTCTCAAAAAGTTAAGTAGGACCAATTTTTATAAAAAAAATCCAATTTCATTATGAATGTTAATTAATTTATAATTATTGAATAAAAAATTTTCTTTGAGATTATGAAAAGTTCTTTGAAAAGTTATTTTTTCTCATTTTTAAATATTGTATTAGCCTATTTATTTATAATCCAAATTAAATAACTTTAAATTCAATATTTAAAGAATAATTTTGAAGGAATTGAGTTACTTTCCCCGACGATAAAATTGAGAGGTTTACATTTTGACCGAACTTAGCATGCAACACTTATTATATTAATTTTTGGCTCCACGCCTGTAAAATTCTAATCAAAGTGTAAATTTCTCATCAAACGATGAATTTAAGGCTAAATCAAAAAGTGACATCGTAAAACCCTCTAATTTAGGGTCTAAAAATAATCTGATAAATCACTCCCCAGTAATTATAAAAAAAATGAGTGATGAAGAATTTGATAATCAAGTTGAGCAGGCAGTTCAAGTTTTAGAACAGAACAATATAGAGAAAATAGTTATAAATGGCCTGCAGCTATTAGTTTTCATGAAATCCGTATCAGATTCCGTTGTTTTGTCGAAATATTTTTCGAAATTAATGGGTTACTTCACGGCACTTTCAAAATTCCTGAAGAATACAAATATACCACGTGAAGTGATTCAGAAGGGACTCGAGATGTCGCTCTCTTGTAACTTTTTGACGCCAAGATTATACATGGCATATTTTTTTGCAATTGCAGCTGAAGATTATGAATCCCTTGAAGAACTGTCACAAATGATTACCATGGTAGGACATCCGTTGCGTGCAATTTATCTCAGATATACTTATATTTACTTTTATCCTCAAAACTTTGTCACATTTCAAAAATTCCTTACATCCAACTTTACTGAAATGATAAACTTTTATAACGAGATCGATTTCCACGATGATTACTCAAATGAAGCCATAATAAGTTATATCACGACAAACATTTCTCTAGGCTTGTACAACATTACCAACAGATACCAGAAAGCTCAGTTCTTCCTGGAATCCACGATTAATCAAAAAGAAAGGCTTTTAACCGATTCTATTTTTTATATTACGATTACAAATCTATCTGGCGAAGAAATAGAGCCAATATACAATACAATTGAGAAGTACCTTAAAAATACTTCATTATCCAGTGAAAAACTTAAATCTTGTTATTATATCATCCAAACAACGAGTATTCCATCAGAAGTCTACAATTTCCTTTCGTCTACTGAATACATAAACAATTGCCGTGACCAGCTGTTCAAAAGAGCCTTGGAATTGAACGATGAAGAACTTCTTTTGAAAATTGCTAAGAGATGGCAATCAGAAAACATATTACGACCATTGGTTAATCATCTCGGATACAAGAAATTGATTTCTGACGACTTAATTCCTAAAAACAACGCTGAATTTTTGTCATGGTTTATTGATTCGTTCCAAAAGTACATGGAGCCAAAAGAGATACGCCAACTGATAGAGAATTATTTAATATCAAGGCCTGAACAACTAGATAACGCCTTACTTTTAGTTGCAAAGCGAGGATTTGAATTTTCAAATTTAATTTTTTCAAAACCTTTCGTTTTTAGCAGCACTGAGATGCTTAATCTTTGTCTAGATGGCTGCAATGATCGAAAGACCATAGAAGAATACGTAAATCGTTCATCTTCGACGATATCAGCAAAAGAACGTCAGAAAATCAAAGAAAGCCATGGAATAATATCATCAAACTTCGACCCGCAGCTTAGTGATAGTAATTTGTCTCTAATTGATAACGTTGACTTGTATATGAGTTTGCTTTTGAGAAAGGATCCAAATACTAACCAATTGTTGCATTCCATTCGAACTATATTTAATATTGCTAAGGAATATCCTGCTTTCATCCTTACAACTCAAGAAAAAATTATTGAATGGAAATCTATCCTTGAAACACTCAATTTGGAAAACAATGACCTCCTGGATTACATAAATAAGCTGTTGGCATAAGATTCTATTTATTATTCTCAATATTTGTATTTGTTTGTATTATGATTTAAAAAAATTATTTATTTCTAAAGAATTTGCTTTTATTTGTCCATAAAACCAATTGTAAGGAATTATTATATCAAATGAGCGTATAATAATTTAAATTTACAAAGATTTCAAAATAATTCATTGAATGCGACAATAATAAAACTCATTCAACTGTAGTTCAATAAAATCTTGCTCCAGATTGATATAATTTTGCTTTCCAATATTAATACAATAACAAAAAGAAAACAATGAATAAACAACTCTTCATTAGGTAGCAAAACTAATAATGACGATTTAACTTTATTCATTTGATATGCCAACTTATTAAAGTTGATTGCATTGTCAACATATATATAATAATAAATTAATAATGCAAAAAATCAATATCCGGAGAGATAATGTGAATTTCGGATTCTACCAAGTTAGTTGAATTTTTTTACCGAAAAGAATACTCATATCTTTTAAATATTATTGTTTTAAAATTTAATTTTCTTTAATGTTTATTTGAAGACTTCAATAAACGTTCTTATTCTTTGTGTGACATTATGCAGCTTCTTGCAAGAATATCAAACTTATGAATTCTAATGTCATCAATTTTGATCAATTAATTTACAATTTCTGTCCTCTGTTCAATCTTAATGTTCTCTAATTATGCTTTTCATTTAATATCATTAATAAGATAAATTTTGACAATTAAAAATCTGTCCTCTTTGAAAAATTTTGAATATTATTCCGCCAATTTTTTAAATATTTGCTTCTTAGGTTCAAGCATAATGATGATCAAATACATGAAATTATTCTACAGAAAAGAATTGTTATGCTATAATTATAAATGTTTAGATATGTGATTAAAGTTTATATATGTTTGTATGTAACTATTTTTGTTGAGAAATAAAATTATGAACTGGGGAAATTAAGTATGTTCTTAGGCTTCTATGATGTGCCACTTAATCTATATGTTTAAAGGCTGATTTTCGATGATGCTACACACCAGTTGTCATAAATTTGAAAAAAAAAATCAGATTGATACATATTTAAATTGTAATTTTTTCTAAAAATGATAATATTTCATACGTATACGATTTATATTAATATTAATTTGTGTTCAATTCAATTTTGTGAAAGAATTCCAAAATATTTTAAACTCCTTTTCCTTCGTAAAGTCTTTTATTCAAATTTTTGATAGAGGTTCACTCAATATTGAGACAAAAAACGATAGGGAGACTTTACGTAGGAAAATGGGTTTAGATTCTAATTTAATTGTAGCTGCTAAGGATGTCGTTTTGTCCCCCCGGGGGTTGATTGAAGTCAGAGTCTATTTGTAAAGTGTCAAAATAATTATTGATTACTGAAGTTCAAATATTATAATATATACAGCACCTCGTTAATATTTAAAATACATTTATCTAGTTTTTGTTGAATTTTCTTGCATTTTCAGAGAATTGATATTTAATTTTTCTTAAATTTTAGCTCTATGAGCTTTGTAATGACATGATTTTGATTTTTATTAAAGGTAATATATTAATCATTAATAAAATCAGGAAAATAAATTTTCCCCAATCCCCCAATCCCCCATAGGGGACGCGGCCAAATATACATTCAATTTTGAATATCCCCCAGTCCCCCATGGGGGATTGGGGAATTGGGGAACAAAAAGTGACGCTCTATGAAGAGTCGATGAAAGGCCAGGAAGGGGCTCTGTTGTTTCTATTCCAGAATTCAAAACCAATTTACTGTTATTGGTGCTTTCAGCCTGAATATTTACATAATTTAATTTTTGAATCAGATGAAAAACTAAAGCGAATAGTAAATATCAGTACAGTATACATTGTGCGTCGCCTGTAGCCTACAGCTACAGTCACCGACACAATGAAAAAAGTGACAGAAAACTGACACCATACGGGCGCGCATATGTACGCATATATGTGTAAAAATAAACGTTCATATGTAAACTAACCTTTATTCACTAGCAGGGGCTGATAAATCATAATCGTCGAGAAGTACGATAGGTGGTCCCACCTGTTTAATCTGTATGGAGAGGCAAACGTGACGTAAGAAGCATAACACTGGTTTCTCAGTATATTTAATAGACTCTGCTGTTGGCTTAACTGTAAGCTTATATGTAATAGGTGAATTAGATAACTGACCCTGTTGGAATGTATAATCAGTTTCGCAAGGGAATCCACATAGGTAATGACCTAAGTCATTTGACTCGATTCCAAATTGAGGGACTGATGTGGTTGTGATAGACCTCATGACATCATAGTTGAAGCCAACAGTATCGTTATTATTGTTAGTGGCATTTGCCTGCATCTCATAGAAGATTGGATCATTAGATGCTTGAGCCTCAGCGGGTATGTTACCATATGCTCCACAGTTCAATTGAATTTGTTCAAACAATGGATTTTCATAGGTAGTGTTATAATTAGGTGTTTTCTTAAATAGTGTATAAATGGTGTTCACATATAATGGAGTAAATGCTGCCGTGAATGTACAAGGAGTTCCTTCACCTTTAGCCATTGAACCATCCATAGTAATGCAGTCAATTCTTTTGATTGGGAAGTTTAGAGTCTTTGCCGAATATCTTGTCACCAAATCACTATAGATGTTAGGGTCCAAAGAGAATGAGTTACAGTATGTAATCATTTCAAAGAAGTTTGCATTCTTCTTAGTGAACTTAATAAACTTGGTACCAAATGATATCGTACTCTTATCGGCATTCCAAGTTACAGTATCAATAACTTTGATACCTTCATAGATAGGAGGAGTGAAGTGATTAGTGATTGGAATATAGCTTGTAACATTGGCTTGCATGTTCGGTAATGGTAGAATATCCTGATAACTTAATGGTGTCCAAACCATACCAGCAATACTGAACTTAACCTTAAGTTGTAAGTTACCAGCAAACGCTGGAAGGAATCTAATGTTATTAAGTATTAGGAATCTTCTTAGGTCAATCTTGATTGGTATGTGGAACTTTAATGTAGTTGCACCACTAATTGGTTTATTGAACTCAATAATCTGTCCAGAACGAACTGTATCACATCTATTGAAAACATCTTTATGTCTAGCCTTACTAAATACATCAACTTTCTTAATAGCTTCTGTTGTAGATGCAGTAGAAGTAATGTAACCTTCTTCTCTAGCATTATCTTGTGTATAAACACTTTTACCATTAGCGATTAATTGATATGATTCAACAGCATAGAATGAATCAATGTATCCCAACCAAATTGCTGGAAGATGTGCACATGATTTGCCACCAGCATATTTAGTATCAATTGCTTTAATTGCTGTAACATTTGATCCTGTAGGAGCTGTCTCAACAGCTCTTTCTTTATATACTTCACCATCATATTTAGGAACTTTTTCATCAGCTGGTTCAGTTTCTGTTGTAATTATGCACTCACCATCGACATAACCACTAATGAACGTATTATATAAGTCAATCATGTTCTCACCAGGTGGTGATATGTTAAATGTAATATAACCGTTATCAATAGTATTTGTCGGCATAGCTGGCACTTTTGTTGGGACATATCTATGGTTAGTATCTCCAATAGGAACTGCCCCATCAACTTGATCGAAATAATATCTTACTTGTCTGATGGAATCAGCAATACTGTATGTATTGAGGTTATCGTTCAACATCTTTCTCAGCTATAAAAAATTTACAATCTTCTTATTCTTGGGATTATTCGTCTTATTTGTGGCTGAGGTTTAGGAGGTTCTGGTTCAGGCTCTGGTTCATCATCGAAGTGTATTCTTTTCTCTTCCATTGATTGAACATATTCTTGATTCTCTTTAGTTTCCTTCTCACGTTCAATTGGGTCCATGTTTGGTTCATTAACTACACTGTTACGTTCTAATATCTTTGTCATCATCTCTAACAACATTTTATTAGTATATGCTTGTTCTTCTTCTTTCTTCTCATCAACTTTAGGAGCTTCTTGAACAACAGGAGCTGGGGCAGGAGCTGGTGAATTCAATGGTGCCTTTCTCTTTCTAACTTGAACTGAACCATTCTTCATATGACAAACATAATATAATGGATGTTGTATTCCTTTAGCTTCATTCAATATGATTGATTGCTTTTCACTTGGTGAAAGTTTTGACGTCATTTCTATCCTAATAAAATTTTTTACTCCTAACAAAATGACTGAGAATACTTTCGACAGAGAAGCACTCAAGAATGAACTTCGTGAAGAAATACTTAATGAACTCAAACCAAAAGAACAAACACAAGAAGAGAAACCAGCTAAACCAAAGCGTAAACTCACAGAGAAACAATTAGCTGCATTAGCAGCTGGACGCGCAAAGAATCCACGAATGATTGCAAAGAAATTGAGAGAAGAGGAAGAAGCTAAGAAAAATAATAAGTAAGTGTTTAGAACTTTAACTTACGTTCAAAAGATGACTTCGTTGAAATAGTGAAGTCCTTATTTTTGTTGAAGCATGGTTTCGAACCAATGCACAAGTCAAAGGTTATCTCATCACCTTCATAAAGAGATTTGTACAATTCCACGATGCTATATTTTTCCCCAACTTTCTCAGGGAAGAACAAACCTTTCTTCTCGTCATAATGTACTTGTATCGCATCTGGGAACATTTGGTTTGCAGTAAGTGCAATTACGTCCTGTGTGATTCCCTTCATTCGACAGTGGAAAGCAATTTCCTTGAGGTCATTGGTTAATTCGTCGAGGTAAGTCTTCTTTCCAACGAATATAGATCTTTGTGCCTTAGACATATGTCCTGCAGTAATCTCTGCAAAGTCTGAATGAAATTGACCCAGTGCTTTTCCAATGAGTTCTCTGTTATACCTTCTCTTGTATTCTTCTGCTAACTTATCTAAGTCCTTCTCATACAAGTGTAAACTATCTGTATCCTGATAGAACAACTTCAAGCCCAAATCTTCTGCTGTGAAGAATACTTCATTCATGATTCGTTTGGACATAGAAAGGATTGAAACACCTAATGGACAATAGTTAAAGTGACGAACGATAGGTTTAAATGACTTTACACATGAAAGTTCGGAATCGGGGATGAACTCTATTGTCTGTATGTCATTATAGTTCTTAATGATATAGTCAGTGAGCTTATTGTCCTTGATGAAACGAATCTTTTTGTCAATGGGCTTTAATATCGTCTTACCATAGATACTGTTCAAAAGAAGTTTGATGATCTCTTGTATCGGATTACCTTCCTTCTTATACTTAGCACGTAATTCGAAGAGCTTCTTAACTTCATTCCTTATTGTCATGTCCCTTTTTCCATCATAATAGTATCCATCAATGACTTTGCATGAGATCTCTTGGAACTTGATCAGATCTTGAAGCGTAATGTGGTCTACGAACATCTTGCAGCATGTATTGGAACTTCTGGCAACATGTAAGTCAGGGTTGATGTCAGGATTGACGACAATCAATGGGAATGCTGAGTTCTTACCGATCGACAAGATCTCGATCTGACAGTAAAATCCTGAGATGAACTTTTCCTTTGTTGGTTCAGCTTGGTCATCATCAAAGAGATGCTCCAACAAGTATTCACTGCTCTTCATCTCTTCTGTCATAACTTTTGGAATTCCTTCTAAACAGTAAAGTCTAGCAATTGCTGATGGATACAATGATACAGCATCGAAGTCAGTGATGAGTTCTCCTTCATTGTATTGCTTCTTGTTCTCAGCTAGCATGCATCTTCCTCCTTGAATACACTTGGAAATATATTCACGAGGTTTTCCTGCAAGATCAAAGAGATTACCGTTCTTCCAATATACTCTCTTCTCAAAGAGTTTGTTTGAGATAGAACTTATTGAAACATAATCATAAGCATCTATTTCAAACTCAGTCATGAGGTCATTGCGGAACTTAAGAAAGCCATCTCGTAAAATGCGTACATCTTGACCGCAATAGAATGACGAATAAACTTCCATGTCAAAGTGTTCATCATCAATCTTGCAATCTTCAATCTTCTCAATGTTCTCATTAAAAGCTTCAATATCTTTGACATGATTCATGGCATCATCGATGTTACCAACTTTAGTTGTATTAACTAACTCTTCCGTGTAGTAATTATATGGGAAAACTTCTTTTTCACCACTAGTGAGGTGAAACATTTCAGGGAATCTTTCCAACTTAGTTGAGATGATTGCATAAGAGTCTTTGAAGCAGAGAAGTTTTCCTTTGTACTTTCCTTGTATCTGCATCGTTTGTGAACCTTTGATGATTGGAGTTCCTGTAATCTCTTCTAACTGAGACATGAGAAAAGTGACATCGTACGATAAGTTGTGGAAATAAACTAAACTCTTATCTGGTAAAGCTTCGAGGAATTTTGACGCACAGTCACTTCCCCAAATTGATGTATAACCATCATCGTCATCTTCCATGAAACAAATGTTGTATGCTTTGTGAATGTTTCCATCAGTTGATGCTTCGAAGTCAGCAAAGAAAACATGTTCTCTTGGGAACTTCATGTCTTTCTTCGTCTCTGAACTCCAATCTTTCTTCATCCTTGCGCAATAACGCTCATTGTATGTGAGGTCAATCATTTCTTCAAGGTTCTCATTATACATCGTTGTGAAGTATGTGCAAAGTTCTCCTGTTCTAATTGGTTCGAAATAATTGTTAGCAAACAAGAGTTCAATGACTTTTGCAAGTGGTGTAACTAACTTTGAGTTAATTGCATACCTTGTTTCATATCTTCTGTTAACTAACATCTTCTTCTCTAAAGTCCAATCCTTGCACAACTTACAAACATCTTCATAGTTCTTGATGAACATTGAACTTATTGGAAGCTTTTCGTTCAACATGTAGTGGTCATACATTAATAAAAGTTCTACTGTCATCTTTGGTTCTTCATCTGGTTCATAAGTATATGAATGATTTGAATACTTCTCGTTGTATTTGATGACATGGAACCTTATTCCTGTTTCTTTGGCAATAACCTTAATCTTGTTATATACGAAAACGATAAAAACGGTTTGACAGAAAAGTGACAACTTTACGTGTCAAAAATATAAAAAGTGATATTTTATTCATCATTATCTTCTTCATAATTTATTTCATATTCTTCGTCTTACCAACAAAAGATGGGAATGTGAACAATTGCGGGCAATTTTTAGCCATTTTGGCTTGGAACTAGAGCCTGCGAGGTACATGGATAGTATCAGTACCTCACAGGCTCTAGTTCTCTATATGGCGCCGAGAAATTTTGGTGAAATGTGGTCGCATTTCACCAAAATTTTTTCGGCGCCATAGGATGAATTGGAGGGTGAGAGATATTATTTCATACAATACTACTCTCACCCTCCAATTCCCAGCCAAAATGGCTAAAAATTGCCCGCAATGTGAACAATTGCGGGCAATTTTTAGCCATTTTGGCTTGGAACTAGAGCCTGCGAGGTACATGGATAGTATCAGTACCTCACAGGCTCTAGTTCTCTATATGGCGCCGAGAAATTTTGGTGAAATGTGGTCGCATTTCACCAAAATTTTTTCGGCGCCATAGGATGAATTGGAGGGTGAGAGATATTATTTCATACAATACTACTCTCACCCTCAATTTTAATTACTTAAACTCATTCTATTTTTTTGACATGTAAATGTCACTTTTACTGAGATCTGACACAATGTCAGATCTCTTTTTTTCGTATATAAGAATCTTTGACATTGGAAAATCTTTGACACGAATGATTTCCCTCATATGATTAATTGTTGCTTCGTCAACACCAGCTTGAATACAAGCGTAGATGAAACATGAATCTTTCATCATCTTCTTTGCTGTCTCTGCATTAAGTTCGTTGAAGATCTGATACCTCTCTAAGTTAATAGGTAATTTGCATGTCCATGTCCAAAGCTGACCATTACGTGACCTGTTTCTCTTCTTTGAATGGTTTTGTTTGATGATCTTGAGTGCGATCTTTTCTTGACCTGCTGCTCTCATCGTATCTAACATAACTTGTTCTTCAGCTGTGAGTTTATATGGTGTGTACGTTCCTTTTCTCAAAGCAGAAGCATCAACATCTGAATAAGCTGTATAGTCAAAGATCTCGATCTTCCTTAACGAAGGAATACTACAAAGGAAGAAGTCATAGTTTGATTCAAGGACTTTAGATGCTAATTCTTGTACTTCTGCTATTGGAGCTTCATTAAGTAACTGATGAACTAATGATCCCATTGTATTGATGTTCAAATGACGCAAAATGTTTCTCTTCTCATCAAAGTCGTAATAGAATGTCCACTTCTGTTTGAAAAGGTCTATCTGTCCAATGAACTTTGCCATAACTCTTGGAAACATCTTGTTGAAGTAATCTTTTCCTCTTGGACTGTATTGGTCAATGTTAAACATAATGAATCTTTCTCCTGCTTTAGTTATTGGGTCTAACCATTTCTCATCAGGAAGTTTTTGACCATTAATGTTCTTAACAACGTAAAAGGCATTCTGTATTTCTTTGTATGCTAATTCGCTCTCATCAATCTTTGGTGGAGGGTCTGAGTATATTGGTTGCATCTCCATTAACGCTCTATTATGAGATCTCTGATCGTGATCTAAAGCAACTGGGGAATTTGAAGCTGGAACATTCATGATACCATTGTAGTCATCATAGAAGCTCTTAGCATTCTTGAAAATATCTGCTACACTTCCTGTACCTCCTTGATTCTTAATTGCCAGAGCTAATTTATTGGTAATGTCTTTAGCTTTCTTAGGCATTTTGATCCCAAACATATCAAGCATACCTTTCTTATCTTCTGGTGAAAGGTTATTAACTAATCCTTTTATAGCATTGAGCATGTTGGTCTTTTATAACCGATAAAAAAATATACGTTATTTTTTTTTAATCGTCATCGTAATCATAATCGTACGAAGATTCTGTATCATCATCACTGACATCATTGGTTTCTCTAACTTCTGGCTTATCTGGTTTAATCTCTATCACCATAAACATTGGTGACAATAATCGAACAGGCTGATCTTGGAAGTCAACTAAGGTAAACGTAACATTAGTTAGTTCCCATGGAAATGCATCTATCCATGGTGAGGATTCCTTACATATAAGTGGTTTACCAGATATCCAGAACTCATTGATGTTATAACATGTAGATCTGTACATGATCTTTCTTCGATCATCAACTTGGTCAATATTATTGAACCCAGAGATGACAGACATTGATGAACGAAGGTATAACTGATACCCGAAGTTGAGCATAGGTGGTTTTGGCATTTGTAGATAATAATTATGTACAATAGGTAGTTCTATTCCATATGCACCTAAAATAAGATTTGCTCTATGTGAAGCATCTTTTAAATAGACTTTATGTCCTTTGTCCTGTGACGTAAATATAAGTTGATTCGTAGCACTCAGTGAAACTGTTACATTATGTTGACCTTTTTTCTTGTTATAATAATCAAACTGTTTTGTTACAATCTCTTGTAGTTTTGATACAATAGTATCCATATCAAATGAAAGAGCTGACTTAAATGTACACACCTTTTCTTCTCCATCTTCGTCTAACTGTAAGACAAAATAATCTGTTTCGTCACAAACAATAAAGTTCGCCATAGTACTGACACTTTTTACTCTCATCTTTATCTTACTTGGATGCCCCATGTTAGGATCTGCTTGAAACTGTATTGTCCCGTAGTTATTAGGATCAGTCGATTGTAGATAATACATCATTTTTATATGTAGTAAAAGAATGAGTGTTGTTCCATATGCATATGAATGTTATAAGTCTAGCGTACTTCAATATAAAGAATATACTCTCAGAATTACTGATAATGCTTTAGTCATACATAAAGAAGGTGCTGATGAAGACATTACCATCGGTCCTGGTATATTACCTATCGAGCAACCAGATGGTACAATTGTTGAAACAGACTTAAATCAATACCTTCAAGCGTTACAGAATCGTGTGACAAAAGTAGAGAATAATTACTTAGATGCTCCATTCTTCACAACTGATAGAGATTATATGTTTTCATGTATGGCGAGTAATGGTTTGCAAGAAACTCGTGAGGTAAATATTAATGAAGCATTAGAGACTATAATATATCATGTTAAACGGTTATTATCGATTGACCATGGAGTTCATTTTGACCCAAGGTCTACACTGTTCAATATACCAATGATTGAAAACAGTCAATTAACATTTAAAGAAGATACATTGTATAATGCTTTAAACGCAGCATTTGCTTATATATTAGGTCATGAACAAGTACAAAATAGTGGTATTGCAATATACTTAGATAAAGTTATGTTAAAGAAACCATTGACATTCACAGAAGATGGTCCAAAAGCAACTGGTATTGTTGGTGATGGAACATTATTGACGAAAGAATACTTAGCAAGTCATGTCGGAGAATTTTTCTCCACTAATGATAGCATCAGTACAACACCAGAAGTTATTTTATTGAAGAAACCAATCACATTTGATGTTAAAGGAAAGACAAAAGCAACTGGTATAGCTGGCGATGGAGTTCTTCTGACTAAGGAATACTTGAAGAAAAATATCAATGACTTCGTTGAAATTGTCAAAGATAAAGAATCTGGTCTTAAGTTCAACCCTTTATCATTCATCTTTGCCATAGCAAACGCCGGTGCTACTGCAGCCTCATGGATATCACTCCAGAGTCAAATAAATGCTCTTTGGGCTTTTGTTGAAAGTCAAGAAGGTATAGATACTGTTCTTGACACTCTGGGTAATCTTGGTCCAAATCATAAAGGAGGTTTTGTGGATGGAATAAAAAATTTAGTTGAAAAGACTAAAACAAGTTTCCAGAAGATAACTCATATAGAAAGATTCAGAAATGAAGGTTATATGGAACTTGAGAGTTTTGATGTGACTGGACCTTTGGAACCAATTCCAATGCCACGTGATGCTAATGATGAAGAAGAGAAAGATCCTGGACCAAAAACAATCATTTCTACGTTAAGTACTTTGTACCCTGATTTTGTGACCTTAGTGAAAGTTGCTAATACATCAAGAAAGAACAATAATATTAATATGTCTGGTACTGATGACCTTACTGATTATCTTTATCTCATTCTTGCTGAATTAGCGAAGAAAGTTGAGGAGAACAAAAATAATGGAGGAAGAACTGCACTTAAGATTGCAGACAAAGCTGACAAAAGTTATGTTGACGAAGAGATACGTAAAGTTGCATCTAAAGAATATACTTTATCACAGTCTGTCATACTTAAGACAATCAAAGGTCCAGAGAAAGATATGTACCCAGGTGATGGTACAACAGTTAAAGTTAATGAAAGAGTTTCATTCCCATCTGGTATTGATACAAAAGAAGTATATATTAATGGTGAAAACATCAATACAACATTGTTTCCTTTGAAAAATAATGAGTTCACTGAACCTTTGACAGTTAAATCAATTCGTTCAAGAGAAGACAAACCTGTTATAATCAATAAAATAGGAGCTGATAATGACCAACCAGTTCAAATCAAGAAAATAAGAGCTGATGACATTATCTTGAACTATACTTTAGGTTCAAGTGCTCCACAAGAAGATCCAAGCACTAGCGTAAAAGATACTCTTAACAGTTTAGATAGTAAATGTACGAACATTGAAGGTCATGCCAGAAACTTCGAAGTATATGAACTACCAGCAATGTTAGATAAGAAAGCTGACAAGAACCATGTTCATTATATAAGTTCAGATGAACAGATTATAACGGACTACCACGGATATTTAACACAGGGTGAAAAAGTGAATACGAAAAATGTTAATGAAAGAAGATATAAATTCATTCGTGCTAAAGGTTATGACATACACTGTACTGTACAGTATGACACAGGTATAGCACCACAATCATTTGGTTATAACGCTGAAATTTATGCTTCATACTTCTTTGTTAACGGTGTATTAGTTGAGCCAAGATTTAGGTTGAGAGTTAAGGCAAAAATAACCGTTGAAGATGCTATTAAAAGTAAAGCTGACAAAGATGAACTTGACGCAACGAACAAAGTTTTGAAATCTCATAAACACAATATCTCCGACATAAATTCACTTCAAACTTCTTTAGACAACAAAGCAGACAAAACTTATGTTAATGAACAGATCTCAAAGATCTCTAATGCATCTGTAAACAATGGAATACCTGAAAGCATTACAGTTAGCTTTGGTAATAATGATATGGGTAAAGTTGCAATATTTATAAATTATAACATTGGTCCATCAGAAAAAGGTCCAAGTTACTATACATTGAGTCATGGTAAATCTATTGAACTTGTGTTCCACAAAAAAGATGGAACAAACTTAACTATTCATCCTGGAGATACGTTTGAGTTTTATTTGAACGATGTCACCACAGTAGATTATACTTATAGACCTTCTAACATGTTTGACATGATGTATCCAATTGGTTCTATATTTACATCAATGAGCTCAACAAGCCCGCAAACCCTTTATGGAGGTGTTTGGCAACCGATTGTTGATCAGTTTCTTTACTGTTCTAACTCATCAATGGACTTTGGTGGTTCAAAGACTATCAGAGTTGAAAACCTTCCACCACACTCCCATAGGTTCAGTGCAACAACATCTACTAATGGAGAGCATTCACATTCAATGACAAAAAGAGGTTATACAAATCTTGCAGCAGGTTCTGATAGACAAGGTATGAATAGATATGATATCACAGATGACCCTAGAGATGTTAGTACAGGTATTTTCTGCGGATCTGCAGGAAACCATACTCACACAGTAGCTGGAATCACAGATGCAACAGGAAAAGGTCAAGACTTCTTACCACCATTTATGACTGTATTCGCTTGGTTCAGAGCTGCTTAACTCAAGATCACGATCACAAACTGTTTCTCAGTATGAATGAGTAGCTCTATTTTTACATCATTACTGAAGTATTTCTTTTCTTCATCAATGACAGAAAGAATGTTTTCATCATCTTTTAAAGATCTTACCAAAGTTAGATCTTCATCAGAAAATCTCAAAGAAAGACTCATTTATGCACTAATAAAAATATAGCTAATTATTTTTTTATCTGAACTTTTTATCGGGTATATAAAGATGTCTGAACATCATATAAAGTTCTTTAAGATCCAACAGTTTGTAGATGAAGTGAAGAAGCAAAATAAAACAGCAAAGAGACTACTTATATGCTTACCACAAACATTATGTCAAGGAAAGTATGGTTATAGTGCAAGTCCGATCATGATCTTTGTCGATAAGCAGAAATACACAAATGAAGGTTTAGCTAATTTACTCAAGTTTGAAAAGATAGCTATAAACATTCCTGACCATTTCTCAGCGAGAATAAACCTTGACAAGACTAAAAGTTATTGTTTATATGTAGATCTCACGAAATCAACAAAGAGTAAAGACAAAGAATATAACCCAGTTGAACTTAAGACAATGGGTAAGAACTTACTCAAAGCTGCTATCAAACCTGTCGAAGAGATCGACATTGAGGATGAAGCAGAAGAAATAGATGTAGATCCTGAAGTGTTATAAACGATAAAGTTTATTTTTGGAGGAAGATGGTGTCAGACCATTTGATCTGGCATGCTTGTTCTAGGTAATTGCAGAAACCTGGAAAGATTGTTATTGGTCTGAGTTTCATACCTGGTCTCTCATCTCTCCATTGAAGCAAGTAAATTTACATGAAGAGTTCGTCTGGATTCTCAGGCTTTGGTACACACTGATCGAAGATCTGTATGACCTCTTCATGACCGTACTCCCTCTGGTCAGACATGAGTGTTCTGAAGAACTTTTGCATCTTCGGACCAGGTTTAGCATCTATGCAACGAGTGGGTCTCATTGACATTTTTGTCACTTTTATTTGGTCGAATGGAAGGATTCGAGTTCATGCCACTTGACAGCAAAGAAGGTGCAGAAGAGGTTGTTGTTGCTGCATTCTATGCGAGCTCACACGTTGACGCATTCCGAACTTACCAGGATGACCTCGAAAAAGAAGGTCGAAAGCTTGGAAAGATCCAAATGTTGCTTGAGTTCTTCCGTGGAAACCTTGCACAGAAGTATGAGAAGAAAGAATAAACAACTAATTATTACTGAGCTTAGCTCATAAATGTAAGTTTTTACTCTGATCAGATCTTAGATCTCGTCGGGACAAGCGGAAAGGATAAAGTCCATGAGCTGGACTTTTGTCTTAGTGAGCGGTACTGCGGTCATGAGTAGTTCGCGCTTGTTTGAGCCACTTGGAACGCGACCCTTCCAATTCCTCATAGATCTCAAGGCAGAGATCGTGAAGAACTCAAGGACAAAGAGTCTTTGAGACTTGGTAAGGAATCCCTCATCATCTCTTTCATCCTGGAGGGTCTTTGTGGATGCAGTGGACTTGATCTCGTTCTTCCTCGATCGGATCATTCTCATAATCTTCATCACCCTTCTTCCTAAACGTCATCTGCTCTCTCTTGTAGTCGTTCCTGAGAGCATTGAGTCCAGCTTCAAGATCTTGTGAGTTCTTTGCAGGTTTATTGAAAGTTTTCTTTTCCTGCATTTGCTGTATAAGCTGGGTTTGCTGTTGCATCATCTGCATCATCATTGCCATCATATCTAGTGTTGGTGATGCTGGAGCTGGTGTTGTACCATCTTGGGACATTCGGTCGTCGGTTATGTCTTTACAAAAGACTGCTTTACAAAAGACAGCTTTACAAAAGACAGCTTTACAAAAGACAGCTTTACAAAAGACAGCTTTACAAAAGACTGCTTTACAAAAGACAGCTTTACAAAAGACGTCTTGACAAAAGACAGCTTTACAAAAGACTGCTTTACAAAAGCATTTTCTCACAAAATTGAATACTTTTGCTTTACAAAAGACGTCTTGACAAAAGATTGCTTTACAAAAGTCTGCTTTACAAAAGACGTCTTGACAAAAGATTGCTTTACAAAAGTCTGCTTTACAAAAGATTGCTTTACAAAAGATTGCTTTACAAAAGTCTGCTTTACAAAAGACAGCTTTACAAAAGATTGCTTTACAAAAGCCATG